GGACTAAATTGAGCGAAACACAAAAGTCTGGAACGATATTAGGTCACTAAAGTCTTTTAGGACGAAATTGAGAAAAACCACTATAGTCGAGGACGATTTTGGGTGTCAACTCAATTATAAAATAACAACGCAATAATGGAGTAAATTGTCCTATGGAATATTAATAAAATAGTTGCGGATTTAACTTTTATTTTTCATCTGAATTCAAATAAATCAATTAATTTTACTTTGAATTCAAGCTGCTTGCCAAATTAAGTCAAACCACATATTAATAGAATAGCGTTTAATTATTATGTGTTTGGCAATTTCATATGATCAAAGTGAGTACATTATTCTTCCAAAAGGAAGAACCCAACAGAGCATTTGGGAGGTTGTAAATCATGGTAACTTAACTGAACATGAACCACCCCTCATCTCACTTTGAGAGCTAAACCAGTGCTGATCGAGGTTGCTCCCACACTGCTGCTGGTGAGACTCGATTCCTAGTCATTCTTTCAAAGTTTCACCTCTATGACCAGTTGAGTACATTATCAATGTTTTACTTCGTACGCTTTTGCTGCTATCATGTTAATATAAGAATATAATTTCTTTAGAATATAGTAACAATCTATTAGTTTTGTCTGCTTGTGCATGTGTTTACACTATTCCATCACACACTTGATTTATGTTTCCTACTTGGGGTAATGATGCTAAGAACCTGGTGATATCGTATTGGTGTTTAAATAAAGAGACAATTAAGTAATCTTTCAATCTTTCGTTTGTTATTAAGTAATCTTAATATTAGTATTTCTTTACCCTTTGCCCTGCGAAGGGTGAAATCCCTTCTTTCTTTTACGAATTACTTCCAGACATGCGAATCAAATTCCATTTTAAAAAGAACTTGTATATATACTATTGCAAACCCACATTTCTTTTCAATGTGGGACAAAATGCTATTTTCAAGCCTGAGTTCTACTATATATAGAGACTTCCAAATTCTACTCCATCAATTATACCCCTGACGTGGCAAGCATGGATAAGACATTTTCATCTTGTGAGTCCAGAAAAAGTTGTCTACATCCAACATTTCTGAGAGAGAGTAAAAGTTGAGAGTAGAATTTGGGAGTACAAGTAGTATTTTCCTCCAAGCCTTCCCAACTCCATTTTCCAGCTTAAATAGGCCGTCTACTTTGATAATCAATTTCTTATTCACTCATTAACCATTTTGAACGTACAATATATCAATTTCTTCATCTCAATACGAAAAATACAAATCCACTTTGACTCGACCCAAATCAGTAGTGGACCCTACATATATTTGTATCATAAAATAGTCACTTAAAATTACCATTTTAGCTAAAAATTCCAACAAGACCTGCCCACTCATTTGACATCACCCAAGGGAGGGGGTGGGGGGAGGGGGGGAGAGAGAGAGAGAGACTGTGTGTGTGTGTTTGTCAAACATACGTGAGAAAGGGACCAGAAAAATGTCTTGAAGTAAAAATATCAATACACATTTTATACTAAAATTAGTCTTTTTCCTTTGACTAGAATGTACATTTTTCATTAACTTCATTTTCCTTTTATAATCATGCATTAGAAAATCTAAAAAATAACTTTCGAAATTCATTTCCAGATTTCCAAATGGATCTTTAGAAGTAAATTAAAATTTTGAACATCCTAAAAACTTTAGAATAACCACAATGGTTGAACTCAAAAGATTTTTTATTTTTTTTTGGTCAAATTAAGGGGCTAATTAAGTAGGAGAGCGAAAGCGTTTTTTTATATTTCCTCTTACATAAAAACTTAACTTAGCAATATGTACCATTTTTTCTCTCTCCCCTTTCTCTCCTAGTCCCCTTCTCTCCAGATGTGCAAAAATCTAACAAAAAATTCAAGACATTAATCAATGAGGATGCTCAACTCTTAGAGCCTTATTTGGCAATTATTAATTAGTGGTTAGCATATTTGAAAATATGTGAAATTTTCATTAGAATTACAGCTCAACCATAAGAAAATTCTTCAAAATTTGAAGTTTGTTATAAACTGCCAACATGACAACATATATTATTGGTTCGCCGGTAATGATTTTATAGGGTTTTTAATGAGCTAAATCAATCTTAGAAAGAAAAATATAAAATAATATATTCTGTATGAGATGACTGTTACGTACTAATATTTGTAATTATTAATTCCAACCCAATTATTATATAATTTTTTTATATCATTAATTGATATTGTATCCCTTTACAACGTCAGTTAGCAAACAGCTACTAACTGAGATCGTGTGAATCATAAATTATTACCTTCAAATCATATATATGGGGTTTCTGTGCTGTGAAATTGACCATAGTGGATAGAGTTTTCAATTGTGAGTGGAAGATTGAATAGAAATATGATTGGACATTATGGACAATTACACACTACGACAATTTGATTTTTGAGCGATATATATATACTTAGCACGGTTATATATAATCGCCGCTAAATGAGTATATTGCACGGTTTTAATAACCTCCTCTTAATGATGTTTTTAGTGTAGTGACAATACTATTCATTTCAACAAATAATTCTCTTATAATATAATTAATCTTAAGAATTAATTTCAGGAATGAAATGATTCATTGACTATTGACATTTATCAATTTTAATTATTTGACTTTTAATTGGACCATAAATGGTCCCTTAACTATTGATTTTTATCAATTTTCGTCATCGATTTTTAATATTATCATAAATGGTCCCTTAGCTATTGATTTTGTTTCAAATTTGGTACGGTCCTCCAGTTAAATATCTATTTAATAAACATTAAATTTAAGAATAATAATATAAAAATTAAATTAGCTTGTTGTTGAGATTGACAAATTGAGTTCATAAATTTAATATATTGAGTTCATAATTGCAAAGATTACCACCCAAATACCCAAGTGAATGAAATGTTTGAAAATTTTTTAAGTTTTTCAAAAAATTCATAACTATAGGTAACTAGCTAGTGGTTGACAGAAATTCAAAATTCCAAAACTGAGTTTCGACCTCCAAGTAGAATTATTATTATTATAAAAAAAAAAAAAAAATTGGCCAACCATCAATAAAAAATAATAATAATAATAATAAATAAATAAATAATTGGCAACCGCTGCCCATACTATGGCAAGGGTGACCATTTTTGCGTCCGGTTGTGAGAAGTGGAGGTTAACTCCGTCATCTATACTTGTAAATTGTTTGCGCAATAATTTAATGCATTAAGCGTTACTCCCAACAAAAAAAAAAAAAAAACAAAAAAAAACAAAAAAAAAAAAAAAAATTGGCAACCATCGCCAGCCATCATTGATCTAGCCATCCGAATTTTTTTACAACCTTTAATTTCTAAATAATCAATATTACTCACCACTTCTGTAAATGTATTACCGTTGAACATTTTTATTGAATTTCAAGAATAGTGGGAGGATGGTTGGAAATTCAAATTTCTCACCGCAAATTTAACTTTTAGATTACTTTTTCGATAATTGGAAATATTATAAGTACCAACCTATAGTTTGAAGATTTACGTACACATTTGATGTTGCTTCAGGTCTGCTTATATATATGTGAGTTTAGTAATTTAATTATGTTTTTCTTTTCAAAGAACACTAGGGATAAACCATGCCCATATTAATAAGTGGTGGGGTTTGGACTTTTTTAAATCAATATGATAAAGAGGTAAAATAATATGCATTAAGATAACTATAAACATTTCATGCGTCACTAGTACGTAAATTAGTAATCAACTATAATGAAGTGCAATTTATAACTAAACAAGGACTAAATGCACTAATAAAAACGAGACATAGACCCTCCACTAAAAGATTGCCATGCTCATAACTTTTATGGTAAGATTAAAATTTCAAATTTGCAATAATTATAAAATGAATCTTACTTTTAAAAGATTTTAATAATTTTAATTTTTTTTTACTAAAATTCTCAGCAATTAATGAACTCTGATGACGATTGAGATTAATATTCACTTTTTATAGAACGATCATGTTCTTGTTTTATTCTGGTGTGAGGGGGGGGGGGGGGGGGGGGGAGCGATATTCTTTGGTACTCTTACCTGTTGTGTGTGTGTGTGTGTGTATATAAAATTTTGAGTACAAATTCCAAATGTTGATGAGAATAATAATGTAGATGATGAAGATCAGACAACTATATGGTACTCTTACATGTGTGTGTGTGTGTGTTAAAACTAAGTGAATAGATGCATATAGATCGATTTTGGCTTTTTGCTATAATCCTATTTCCATTCTCTCCTTGCCAAATGTTGGAATAGAATCCTTGTTCTATCTATTGCTCCTTTTATTTTATTCCTAAAGAAGTTCCATTCTTGTGCATTACATGGACTAAATGTATGTGATATTAATTTATTTTTTAGTATTCTAATTAATTAATATAAATTTAATATTTGTCAAGCACCTTGTGCTCAGATGACATGTAGTGACCTTTTCCATGTGAGACGTCATTAGGTTGAGGAAGTATGTTTGAACAGATATTATATTGAATGCATAAATTTTACCAAACAGGGTCATTATCTTACTCCATAAATTTTATTATTCTAACACATATAAAGTACATTATTCTAACACATATAAAGTACATTATTCTAACACATAAAATATATTATTCTAATTCATAAAATGCATTATCTTACTTCAAAATATTCATTAATTATTCTAACACGCATACAACGCAAGATTTTTTTTTAACATCAAAACAACGTTGTTTTGGACCGTGACTGATTCACGCAATTACGTAGACCACGGTACATACAATAATTTACAGAATTCCAGTAAACATCAATCAACAAGGAGCACGTGACATTCTGTCTCAGAACCTGGTACATATGCTTTACTAAGTCAACATACACATTTTTTAAAATGTTATATATATATATATATATATATATATATATATATTCCCCACCCATGTAGCTTTATATTCTTGATCTATATATATATCTACCCTTCATTCCAAACATTTCCCAACCCTTCTGCCTTCACTCCCCCAATAAGCCTAAGAAACAAACATACGATGATGATGAGTACTGTCCGTAGGTTAGCGTTTCGAGTAAACCCATTTTTGTTAGAACTAAGTTACTTCATAGTCCTCTCCCTAATAGGCTTCTTTGCTTTGAAGGTTTCCAAGCCAAGACCCATCTCGTTTAAGCTCAAAGACTTGGACGTCTTCTTCACCGCCGTCTCCTCCGCCACCGTCTCCAGCATGTCCACGGTGGAGATGGAGGTTTTTTCCAACCTCCAGCTTGTTTTCATGACCTTTTTGATGTTCCTAGGTGGGGAGTGTTTCACATCGTGGCTTGGGCTTCATTTCTTCCAGTCCAAGGTTTCCACAACAGAAAGAGTTTTAGAGAAAAACAAGGTTATTGTTATTGATCATGTTGAGTTAGGTTTGGTCACAAATAATGAGTACCACAACGACCTAAACCCAGAAGATAGTGCAAAGTCTAATGTCCAAATAGAAGTAGTGGAGGACATTAAGTTATTAGGGTGTGTACGAGTTTTAGCCCGTGTTGTCTTGTCTTATATCGTAGTTATTCATGTTGTTGGGTTTACCTTAGTAGCCATGTACATAGGATTTGTTCCGACCGCAAAACAAGTGCTCAAACAAAAAGGGCTTGACCTCACAACCTTTGCGGTTTTTACAACCGTTTCCACGTTTTCAAATTGTGGGTTTGTCCCCACAAACGAGAACATGATTGTTTTCAAGAGAAACCCTGGGCTCCTCCTCATCCTCATCCCACAAATCTTGCTGGGCAACACCCTCTACCCTGCCTGCCTTAGGCTGGCCATTTGGTTTCTAGGGAAAACCACGAGGAGAATAGAGTTTAGGCAAATCTTGGGCAGCCCAAATGGGTTGGGTTATGGCCACTTATTCTCCGGCCGGCGGTCCGGGTTCTTGGCGGCCACCGTTTTTGGGCTAATCTTTCTGCAGTTGACGGTGTTTTTGGCGTTGGAGTGGCGGTCGGACGCCATTGCTGGTCTCACTGGTTATGAGAAGGTGGTGGGGTCGTTGTTTGTGGTTGTGAATTCCCGGCACACCGGAGAATCGATCCTGGATCTCTCTCTCCTTGCTCCCGCCGTCTTGGCGTTGATTGTCGTCATGATGTGAGTATAGTTTCTTAATTGCCATTTCATTTAGAACCCTGTGCTTTTGTTAATTTCATGTAGACCCCTTCAAATTCTAGCACCTACCCAACAGATCCAGAGGGGGGCAATGGGTTACCCTTCCCTACCCCTTAACTTATAGACAAGTTACTAGATTTTTAGGTTGTTTAGTTGGTTGCTTAACCCCATGGTTGCAGTAGGCGCTAGACGCTAGTCGAGTGTTCAGGCAGCGTTTAACACCTAAGCGGAATCTATGCGGCGTTAGGCAGGTGTCAAAAAATAGTGGCAAATTTATAATTTGACAATTTTAATGAGAATGTTTTCAACATTCAATCAAATAACACATTCAAATAAATGAAATAATGATAATTCATAAGTCATAACATCAAAACAATATTAACAAATAAAAATACTCAAATATGAAATATTTAAATACTTCAATCATCCAAATATTCAAAGTATCAGACTAGTCTACGACGGTTGGACCAAACGACATCGGACGCAACCGACCGACTAGGCCGATTTTGACCGATTTTTGGGCGCCTAATAGTGAAAGCGAAACATCCTAGGGGCGCCTAGCGCCTAGGCGCGGCCTAAGCCGATTTTTACTACAGGGGCCTTACCAGCAATATTTCTTTTATTTTGGTCATGTTTAGTAATATAATTAGCTTATCAGTTAATTTTGACTTATTTAACCACTAATAGCTATTTGATTTGGTTAAACATTCAATATAAGTGTTTAATTAATTAGTTCTTTTTTGTAATAGCTTATTGCTTCAAAATACTAAATTTCAAAAAGCTGTTCAAAGTAACTTTTTCGATAAGTTTTTTGAGAAAGTCATTTTGTATGTAATCAGTTGTCAGCTAACAGTTAATTTACCAAACATCTTTTTACAATTAGCTAATGCTATCATTTAATCAAACTCATTAACTCAATAGCTAACGGAGTAACAACTAGCTTAGCTAACAACTATTTACCAAACATGGCTTTACCTTTTTCTAACATTTCACAATAGAAAAGGGGCTTTTTTTTCGTTTTTTTTTAACCATTCACGTGGGGTGAAGAGCATATTCGTAACTCATATCAAATTGTTATATTTTGTCATATTGACATTTTTAAATTCATTATTTGAATTTGCCCATGCCCAGCCCCCACTTAGAAAAATTCTTGGATCCATTTAAACTAAATTTCACTTTTATTTATCTATTGTTGTGGTATTATTACATTTAGTAATAATCTTTTAATTTTGTCTCATTAATTTTTTTAATTTTTTTTTTGCCGCAATTAAGCATCCTTTTAATTTGGATTTATGTTATTCTACTGTATATTAAAGAATGTTGACATGTAATTTCACATTCAATTAAAAGAGAATTTATCAGAAAATGGGAAAAATTAAATCTTAGAACAAGATGGTTGAGTGCTTAAATTACATGTTAACTCATTTTGTTAGGCAGTAAAATAAAAAATTCTAATAAATTGCTATTATGATAAATAAATGAAAATCTATAATATAATAAGGCAAAATTTAAATTAAAAAAAAAAAGGATCTAAATGTAACATATAACAAAAAGTGCTCTTTCTTTCATTTGTTTCCATGAAAATAATTTTTCTTAGACTCTCTAAAATCTCAAAATTACATGATAATTAAACTCCGCGTGCATCAACATCACCAGCCATTTAGGTTTAAATGTCAAAACCTAAATCACTTTTTTGTTTTCAAAAGAATAGCTCAGCTCTGACCAATATATATATCAATTGATATTTGGTAAATACAATTTTTAAGGTATTACGGAGCACAATTTTTTTATCTCATTGACTTTTTATTTTAGTTCTTAGCTAATAATTATGATGGATATATTGGAGACGAACCCAACCCGAGGAGAAGTGGAAGTGACCCGGGCTGGGGGCGACTCCAGTTCGGGGCACCCTCGGCCTAGACTGGCCTCGGTTTGAGGCAGCCCCAGCTGGGTGGCCTCGGGATAAATTAATTTTAGTTCTCTAAATCTTTTTGAACTATCAACTATGTAAATTCAACTCAAAATATTAAAAATATTAAAAAAATTTTATACTTTGGACATTTTTAATTTTTTTTTTATAAATAAAAGATTAAATATGATTAAATTAATAATCAAATACTAAAAGTGAAATGTGAAATTTTCATTAGAATTGCAGCTCAATCATAAGAAAATTCTCCAAAATTTGAAGTACTCTTCAAATTTTGGAGAATTGATTATTGCGTTAAAAACTGCCAACATATATTGGTTGGTTGGTAATGATTTTATCTTTTTTTTTTTTACTTAATGAGTTAAATCAATCTTACAAAAATAATAATAATAATAATAATAATAATAATAATAATAATAATAATAATATATTCTGCATGAGATGACTGTTAATTACGTACTAATATTTATAATTATTAATTCCAACCCAATTATATAATTTTTGATATTATTAATTAATAGTATCTCTTTACAACGTCAGTTAGCAAACAGCTACTAACTGATACGACGTGAAACATAAATTATTACCTTCAAATCATATGGGGTTTGGGTGCTGTGAAATTGTAGTGGATAGAGTCAATTGTGAGTGGAGGACTGAATAGAAATATGATTGGACATTATGGGCAATTAATTCCTTTCCTCCCCTGGCCTACAACACTCCATTCATTTCAACAAATTAAATAGTTCTCCCATAATATAATTAATTTTAATTATCTTTCTAACTTCAAAACCATATATTCTCTCGATATGATAGATTATATTTCACAATTATTAAGAATATTATGTGAATATTGTCACCAAGAATATACTCATGATTTTATTTGATAAATTTAATAGAGTCGAAGATGACACTTGTCGTTAAATAAATTATCACTGCTAGTAAATTACTTATTTTTGGCCACCATACTAAAATTCATTCTCCCTCTCTCTATATTATTATAAATATTACTCCGTATCATTTATCATTTCTATACTGATTGAGACTCTTTGTATCTTTATAAATACATCTCTTAATCATATACTTCAGGCATCATGAATTGATCAATAATAAAATCATTCACAGAACTATTGTTCTCATATGATATTAGCAGACCAAACGATCCATGGCTAAATTCCCATGGAAAAAAAAAAATCATCACCGTCGGCAATCAGCGACACCACGTCCTCTTATCCAACCCTAGCCTCGATAAATACCCCACAAACAGCCATCACTTTATCTTCATTAAACTTACTTCCTCAAACTATCTATTCTGGAAGACTCAACTTGTTCCATTTCGCTGCGGTCAAAATCTTAGTAAATACATTGATGGCACGTTACTATGTCTCGCTTCATTTATTAAAGCTCCGAATGAGTGTTCCGTTGTAGCTATGCTCTGGATGAGTGTTTTGTTGTAGCTGCGCTCTATATGAGTGCTCTATTATAGCTACACTCCGAATGAGTGTTCTATTGTAGCTGGGCACCGGATAAGTGTTTCATTGTAGTTGCGCTCCTGATGAGTGTCCCGTTGTAGTTGTGCTCCTGACGAGTGTTCTGTTGTAGCTGCGCTCCGGATGAGTGTTTCATTGTAGCTGGTCCTGGGGCCGAAAATTTTGGTCCATCAGTATTCTTTTATTTTGTTCGTGACAAAGTAACTTCAAATGAACTACAAAAAAACTACACCTCTACAAAAAGGACCAACTAACAGACATTTTCACCAAGTCACTAACCACAACAATACTAAATAATCTAAATGACAAGCTCAATGTTCTCTTTAGAGAACCTTAAACTTGAGGGGCATATTAGGACTCTGTATTCTAAGCACACTAGAATTCATTCTGCATCCCCCTATACTATTAGGAATATTGTCATTTATCATTCCTATCCTAAGTGACACTCTTTGTATCCTTATAAATACATCTCTTCATCGTGAACCTCATGCATCATAGATTGTTCAATAATAAAATCATTCACAAAATCTTGTTCTCATAGGTAGGAAATCAAATTTAATTCTCACCGTAAATCTTAAATTTTAGATTACTTTTCGATAATTGAAAATATTAAGTACCAACCTATATTTTGAAGATTTACGTACACATTTGATGTTACTTCAGGTCTCCTTATAATCTTATATGTGTCTTTAGTAATTTAATTATGTTTTTCTTTTCAAAGAGCACTAGGGATAAACCATGGCCATATGTGGTGGGGTTTGGGCTTTTTTTAAATCAATGTGATAAGAGTAAATAATATTATTGAAGAATGCATTAAGCTTAAATTAGTAAATTAGTAATCAACTATAATCAATTGCAACTTATAAATAAACAAGGACTAAATGCACTAATAAAAATAACACCTAACACTCCACTAAAAGATTGCTCATGTTTGAAATAATTATAAAATGAATCCCACTCTTAAAAAATTTTAATAATTATAAAATTGATACAGATTTTTTTTTTTTTTTACTAAAATTTACTACCATTGATGAATCTTGGTGACGACTAAGATCAGTCTTCACTTTTTACAAGAGTCATGTCTCATTTAATCCTGCTTATATATGGCATTTGACCCCATCCTTTTTTGGCTGGAAGGGAATTTATTTTGAGTACAAATTCGGGAATTACTTTTGAGTACAAATTCCAAATGTTGATTAGAAACATCTAGGATGAGAATAATATTGTAGATGAAGATCAGACAACTATCTGGTACTCTTACATATTGTGTGTGTATATATATATGGCTAAGACTAATTGAATAGATGCATATAGGTGCCAATGACCACGAAATGGTTCTCTCAAATGTGAGGTTATAGGTTTGATCTTGAGTGAGGGACGGTATTAACTCTTTGTGTCTCAATAAGTTGAGAAAGTAATTATAACAGCGTCAGTAGTACTAAAAAAAAAAAAAACAAAATGTTCCATTCTCTGCTTGCCAAATGTTTGGTTAGAGTCCTTATTTTATCTCAGGGTCGGATTTTGGGCTATGCAAGCTGGGCTGGAATACATGGTCCCAAATTTTAGAGGCTCAATATTTAATTTTTACCTAGTTAGTTTAGAAATAAAAACTAAAAGTTTTCAATTAAATTTAACGAAGAAATGGTAGGAATGTGTATTTATTGTATTTCAAAGGTTCAAAACTTGTGTGTTGCTGTCCAGCTTTAGACATCTCCTTATTTTTTAATCTTTTTGCATTGCAAGTTTGCGCACACTATTATTGTTATAATTGTAATTTATTCACATAATATGTCTTTTGACTTTTTCTAGTAACATTTTACCACCTTCTTCTTATTATTATTATTATTATTATTATTATTATTATTATTATTATTATTATTAAAATTACGGTATTGATTTTAAAGATTTTGATTTTGATAAGCCCTCATTTATTTACTAGAACAGAGCCACAAAAATCTAAAAACCACCATTGTTCTATCTAATTCCTTCTTTATTTTGTCACAGGTATCTTCCACCGGATACAACATTTTTTCCCATTATGGATGAAAATAACAATTCAAAAACAAAAGGATGTAGCCCAAAAAAATTTAATATTATTGAAAAAATATTGTTATCACCGTTGGGCAATTTGTCCATCTTCATAATCCTCATTTGCATCACAGAAAGAGAGAAAATGAAGGAAGACCCTCTCAACTTCAACGTCCTCAACATTGTTGTTGAAGTCATCAGGTTTGAATCTTAAACTAAATAAAATCCCCCCCCCCGCCCCCCCCCCCCTTCTTTTGCTATTACTATTTGGGATCAAATGCGGACAGACCTCTAGGCGCAGACGTGCGAACAAATCTGATTCGTCCATCGATCAAAGGCTGAAAATTAATGAAAAAGAGAAAAACGCGGTGACATTTTTGTAATTTTATGTAATTACGATTGTGCATTTGAAAATGCTTGACGATGCATTTAGAAACTCTCGTGATGATAAGGGGGACAAAAGTAATGAGAATCAGATACTTGTCTTTCGCATTTCTAAATATACACATGGGAGAGGAAGGTGATGGGAATCAGGTAGTGCCTTCTGTGCACTGTTAAGCATTTCTAAATACACTGCCAAGCATTTCTAAATGCACAATGATAATTACAAAAAGTTACAAAAAAAATATCACTACATTTTCCTCATTTTCATTAATATTCAGTCTTTGATCAGATGAACGGACAAGATTTGTCTACACATTCACACCTGTGATGCTGTCCACATGTGAACCTCGCCCTATATTGTCTCACATTTATTCTTCCGAAAGGTTGAACCCCAACCCTAAAGGTTGTCTCACATTTATTTGTTACGTGTTTTGATTTCAGTGCATATGGGAACGTGGGGTTTTCCACTGGATACAGTTGTGCGAGACAAATAAAACCCGAGGGGCAATGCAAAGATAAACAGTTTGGGTTTGTTGGAAGATGGAGTAATATGGGAAAGTTTATTCTTATAATTGTGATGTTTTTTGGAAGGCTTAAGAAGTATCACATGAAAGGTGGCAAAGCATGGAAATTATCATAAGTTCTCACACTTATCATGTCCATGTGTAAGTAGTGCGATCCACATCCACTGATATGATGTTACTTGATCTATATGCATATGCATGGGAGTTGTTATACCATGGATCAGGTTCCACCTTTTAAGGTGGAGATGGGGTAGACCTTGGTCTTAAACGATTATAAATTGTGTATTTTTAGTATTGAAATTGTAAACTTCTAAAATATAAATTGTGTCTTTAAGTCAAAACACATAAAGCTATAGAAGGGAGTCAAATCCTAATCTGTTAATATTGTGTGATTGCTGTATTTGAAAATGGGACTTGTGAATACAAAACAAGATAATTAATTACATATATGTTAACATTAATGCAATGTGTGTTCGTAATATACAAATTGTGAATTTTTAAAAGGTAAATTGTGAATATTTGGATTCGGATCCACTTTGCAAGGTGGACCCGAGTTCACAAAATAATTTGTATATGCATGTGGATGAGGCTCACAATTTCAAATCTTTACCCAGCCGGCCAGCCCAGTGATTGCAGTATATTTGACAAACAAATAAATACCAGAGTATCGAGTTATCGATTCACAGGGAAGCGGGGCGTATCAAGCACTAACTACTCATCTATTCACGAGAAGCTAATCCTAACGAAAATGGTGATTGATTGATTGTAAAAGTAAAACTAATTAAAAGAGAACAAGGTAGCAAGTTGATGAAAACAATAGAGAAAGAGTGAGATTTCTGGGATTCAAGTGCTTAATCACCTAGTGTCAATCTAAGGTGCAACGTTTAATTCGGGTTCAAACAAGTGTGAGAATGCATACAAGGGAAGGAATTACCAAATTACTCCCATAATTCCAACTTAAAATAACGCGAGTGAATATTCATTCCCATGATATAAACACTCATCAACAATTCAAGAACAAGCATTTAGGATAAATCCTTAACTAATATGCAATGGCATCTCCCAATGTGCAATAGTTATGTACAATTGTGGGTGCTCTAAAATATGTCATAACTCCCATTAAGACATAAAGATAGCAATGAAACAAGTAATTTAGACCTTTAATTACTAGCATCAACAAAATAGAACACAATTGCAACACAAGTCATAAAACCCAAATGTAAATATATTAATGAATTTAATAACTAGGCACATAGGTTCATAAACACTTTTACCCAAAAATCTCTAAGATGTTTTAGCCACTCATGCCTATAATAACATTCATAGCAATAATATAAGAGAGTTTACAAGAAACAAAGAAAGTAAAAGAAAAGGGAAGGAGATTCTCCCGAATCCTCATAGCTTTTCCTCCTTCTTCCAAGGTAACTTGTAGCTCTTGATGTCTCTCACTCTTTTTGTCTCCAAAGACGCAGCTTAGATCTAGGGTTTGAGAAAGATTGGCTTTTTATAGTGGGAGCCAAACAGGGGTAGAATAGGAAATTCTGAACAGTTGGAATCTCGCACAGCACGAACATTCGACACGTCGAATCTTGTCTTCACTCTTCAGGACGGGTTCTGGAAACTTTCGACACGTCGAATCTTCAGGATCAGACTTCCTTAGTCAATGTTGACTCCAAACTTGTCTTAGAACTTTCCTTGTTTTTGCATTTGATCTACAATGGTTTCAAAACACTAACAAACACCATAAAAACATTGAAATCAAGCATTAAACCATATCTACATGAGAAAGCAATGAAATAGACATTGAGAGTGATAATTCAATGAACTTGCCCAAAAGAAGATTCAAATTAAGGAGAAAAACATGCACAACTAAACTCACATCACCCATGTATCAAATAATAAATGTATTCAAATAAATATTTCAAAATAAATGTTGTACTCTTTTTTTTCTTATTTATTAATTTATTAATATTCATTTTTTGGCGTGTTAATAAAACACTATATTTATTAAGTTGGTTAAAGCCCCAAATTTTGAAATTCAGATATATAAATGATAAACTGTATAAGTTTCTAATTCTCGATTTCTTTGTATCATTGTAAGTTTATCAGTTTATAGATCTATGACCGTTTAGTGAAGCTCCTAATTATGAAATCTAGAAAAATGATGAATTATTAAGTGTTTTCTACGTACTATACTGTATAAGTTCATGATTCTGGATTTCTTTGTATCATTGATGGGCCTACAATGGTGGAAGCCCAAACTATTGACTCTTAAATGAAGCACCTAATCTTGAAATCTTTTTTTTTTTGAAAGTCCCTAATCTTGAAATCTAAATAATGATGGACTGTTTAAATGCATGATTCTGGATTTCTCTGTTTGTTTATGCGCTCACATACAATATTGTGTTGTCATGCCTGTTTGTATGAGATTCTGTAATATGTTTCCTACTATGTGTACTAATAGTATTCCATTTTTTTAGATGGAAAGTATTAGTATGTCTGGTATTGGTAGTCAACCTCCCAATTCTTCATATGAGGGACAAACTGTGGTAGAAGCCCAAACTGTTGACACAAATGATCAACAGAATGTGCATTATCCTCCAGCTGTAGTTCTTGCAAAGAAAATGAAGCATGTTGATGCTAGATCCAAAGTTTGGGATTATTTTGAAAGAATTTCTGATAGTAGTGGTGTTAATATACAAGGGAAGTGTATATATTGACAATATTGTGCCAAGATGTTTCAATGCGGAAGTGGAACTGAGAGGATTGGTGATTCTACACTTCCTACAATTCTTGTAATTTTATTCTTTATACTTTATATTACATCAATACATCTTATATCTCAAATTAATTAATTGTCTTGCCAAATGCTAACTAATTTTGTCCCAATTTTTTTAGGCTTGGTAACTTGTTAGTTGCTGCCCTTGCACTATTGTAAGTCTGGTAATGTTGTCCACTTGTCCCTATATATTTTGAGGCTTGGTAACTTGTAAGTTGCTGTCTTTTGGCCCCTTGTGCACTAGTGTAAATTTGGTAATGTTCCTATTTGGTAAATTTTATTATGTTTGTCCATATTTTGTGGCATTGATGAAGCTTTCACATATGATCTGAAATAAGAATTAAGGGTGTGTTTGGTTGGTGGGTTTTGCCCATAGGAATGTGTATAAAAGTAATTGTTGTTGTTTGATTGATCAGTTTTTAGAACACTACTATGGGTTTCGAATACCCCATCAATTGAAAAACTCATACCCAAATACAATAAGGGTTTCATTCCCTTATTCATTCTCATGCACTACTATTAGTAACCATTCCCATTCCACCCTATTTGACCGTTTGTTGACTGTGGTTTTTGAGGATATATATGTAATTTCATGGTCTATCGTCGGTTTTTTAAGGTTCTGGTTGCATTTCCAGACCGCATGGTTACATTTGAATCCACAGCCGAAAGCAATCTACCAAATCCGGTCGCCTTTCTTAATCCTCCCTTTGGATTCAATGTAGTTGAGTTCATACCAGAGCGAAGAAGACGACGTGTTTCCGAACCGGTGCAACGTCATCCTGGAGGCCTCCATGTGCTCCGACGAGAGCTGCAGGTTCTTCTGGAGATCGTCGATGACGGCGCGACCGCCGGCGTTGATGCAGAAGTGTTCGAAGGCCTGTTTGAAGTCGGGAATGTAGGGTTTCCATATGGGATTGAAGATTTTCCAGCCGATTAGGGTGAAGAGGAAGAGGAGCTGCTCCAACACCGGGAGAACGAGCAGGTCGATTGTGGTTATGTTGGATTTGAGGGCTTCGTCGGCGGTCTTTTAGAGGTTGATTTCAACTTTCCCTTGCGGATCTTCCTGCTCGTAAATGCAGCGATATGCTTTGTCGTCGACGCCCTTGTGCGTGCGGACCACGTGCATGAGCCGGTACTTGGCCCGACCCGAATCGCGCTTCTTGTTGGACATGAGAATCGCGGCGCCGCCCATTCTGAAGTGGCAATTAGGGAGGAGCATAGCTCTCTCCGATCCTTTGTAATAGTTGCGCGTAATAATCTCCGTGCTAACCACCGGGGCGTTAGAGTTGGGGTGCACGTACAAGAGGTCACGTGCGGGATCGATCGAGATCAGGGCGGCGCTGCACCCCATGCCGGAGAGATTATAGCTTTTGATAGATAGATCGCCGAAGTCCCTGGAGCGGCTCTTCGAGAAAGTCGTGACTCCAAGCGATGTAGGCAAGCTGAACCGGCTCGTTATCCCCAAGCAGCAAGCGGAGAAGCACTTCCCCCTCCGAAACGGCGTTGTCACCTCCAAGAGTGTTCTCTAAGCTAAATCGGCTCGTGAACCCCAAGAAGCAAGCGGAGAAGCACTTCCCCCTCCAAAACAACGATGTCACCTCCAAGAGTGTTCTCTTGAGCTTTACACGTGAAATTACATATATATCCTCAAAGGTCACGGTCAACAAACGGTCAAATAGATGGAGGACCAAATCGTGTCAAATTTACAAAATTAAGGACTTAATTAGTTGAAATTGAAAGTCGATGACCAATTTGTAAATTTAGCTATAGTGGAGGGACCATTTTGAGTATTTACTCATTATTATTTTCCCTTTCTCACTCTCAACACTATTTAAATCTCTCCACTCTCGTCCAAATCAGTCAAAAAAAAAAAAAAAAAAACTCATGAAAAAATCGCGGATGCTAGCCCTTGTCCTAATATGACACGCAGAAAAAGTTAATTGATCACTGATTGTCTGGATGGCAGTCTTAATCTGTACGTACTCCGAGATGTATAGAGGCTAACTCTTTGATGAGATTACTTGCTCAATTCCGAAATGGAGTTGCTTCACTCTCCTTCAATCTCACCATACTCCCCCAAACTACACTCCAGAAGTTCAAACATCCGCAAAACTGGATTAAATTTCGGGTTTCTGCAGAATTACTTTGCTGAATTTGGAAAAAAGGCGAGACCTTCTTCAGTGCTCGCTGTTAATGCGGCCATTGATGGCGGAGGTGAGTCCGACACTACGGCGGTGGTGGTGGAGAAGCCCCTACCGTACGAATTACGTCGTCGTTTCGAGGTTTTCTCCGGGCATCCGACACCGTTCGGCGCCACCGCTAGAGAGGGCGGGATCAATTTCGCTGTCTTTTCGAGCAATGCCACGTCAGCAGCCCTCTACTTGATCAGTCTCGCCGACTTACCTCAGGTGATTCTCTCTGAATTTTCTCATATTTTAGAAAATAATGAAAAAAGATGATATTTTTCTTCATTGAAATGATTGACTTCAGAGTGATGGAAATCAAGGAATGTGTTGCTCTCGATCTAAACACGATTCAATGTTTGTTTTCTGCTTTTGATTTTATGGTCTCAAATGTAATTTAATTTGACTAATAGTTGTCAAATTTCAAGATTGAAATGGCTTTTGGCACTAAATTGAGTGTTTTTTTGGCTTATGACTACTGAAAAGAAGTTTTTTTTTAAATTTTTTGTTTTTTTTAATAATTGTCAAACATAAGCATTCAATTCGTCATTAATACAAGACATCTCTTTAGACTTGAGGCATTAATGAGCTACTGATTTGACTTGCATTAAGTTAAGTTGTCTTCCTAATTACTGGACATGTCTTTCTAAATTGTTTTTCAGCCTTAAAAATTATGTGGCTTGCTTTTCAATATGTGGTTTTGTAATTGCTTATTTACTGCTGCAGAAAAAAGTGACGGAGCAGATTCCTTTGGATCCATCTATCAATAAGACTGGAGATGTCTGGCATGTATTTCTCAAGGGAGACTTTGATAATATGCTCTATGGTTACAGTTTTGATGGGAAGTTTGCTCCTGAAGAAGGGCATTACTTTGATTCAACTAGGATACTTTTGGATCCTTATGCTAAGGTTAGGGTTTCATAATAGTAAAAAATTGCAGATATCACAAAATCTTCTTCTTTAGATGATTTTTGTTTGATTGATATATTGAATTTTTTATCTATATGTTCTGATTTGTTCCTAACTTCTATATAGGCCATTGTAAGCAGAGCAGAATTTGGTGCTTTGGGACCTGAGAAGGATTGTTGGTCCCCAATGGCCTGCATGCTACCGTCCGCCGATGAGGTGCTTTAGTTACATGGATTGAAACTTTATGCTAGAGATTTCATTCATTCCATACTCATTGAGGTCCTAAAGATTGATTGTAGTTGCTATTTTCAATATTGATAGTCCCAGTTCTTATTAGCATGCATTCTTCACAGGAAATGCTTTTGCGATTGAAGTATTGGTAGAAACAAAAATACATTCAACGCTAATTATAGCTCCCTTTAGATTTTGTTTTATTTATCTATTTATTCATTTTTTGTATGCTATATTATCTCTAAATTACCAAGCTAACCTCCCAAGTCTATGCAATGCTGGACAAAATCTGTTTCAAAATGAGAAAAATGAAAGTTATGCTCTGTCCTGTTCTGCCAAAAATTGAAAGTTATCTCTCGATTAAGTTCTAATCTCATTGTAGGACTTGGCTACAAAGGTTCTATTCCTCCATTCTGTTCCATTATTCCATGTTTAATGTAAGGACCTAGCATATCCATCTTAATGAATTCAGTTCAAGTTAGCTGTCTGAAGTACCATTATATGATTATGATTGTAGTTTATTGGTCTGTTAGCAGCAATTTCATTTTGGTTTTATTTTATTCCATAAGTAATACATTAAATTCTTGTCAAATTCATCTCATGTGTCGGTGCTTAGTTGTTCAGTGCTCACACTACTTGTGAAGATATTATCAATTTATCATTTTAGTTTTTTCTTTGATTTTGGTTAGTTTGACTGGGAAGGGGATCTGCCATTAAAGTTTCCTCAGAGAGATCTTGTAATTTATGAAATGCATGTTCGTGGATTTACAAAGCATGAGTCAAGTGGAACGGAATTTCCTGGTACATACCGTGGTGTTGTGGAGAAACTGGATCACTTGAAGGTAAATATCTGAATATAAATTTTGTATGGTTTTAGGTCATCAATTGGAAGATTTAATTCCTCAGATGTTAGAAGAATTTTTTGTTCAAATGAGGGGATAAGGGGGAATTGCAAGGCTGGGGTTGTGGGGGATTAAGGATGGGATAGACAGTGAGATTGGACTAAGTAAAATAACCAACTTACCACTTCTACAGGCCGCTGAATGAATAAATATATTACTCCGTATATACTACTATGCTTACAGCTGTAAAGGAATAGGAAAATAAATATATCAGTGAATTCTAAATGATTGCAATTTACTTGACTGTTTGAAGGATATATGTGTGCACAAACAAATCTTATTATTGAGGGACTGCTCTACATTTGCCATTTTGTTAAATCTAATTGTTTATGGATCGCTCAATTTGCTGTTTTGGTAAATCTGACTGTTAAGAGACTGCTTAGCTGAAGTCAGGTATTACTCAGATGAGACATTGAGATGGAAACATTATCCATTTAGTTATCTAAATCATAACTAGTACTCTGAGAATCTCTCCATAAGATTTACTGTAAAGTGTGGATGGGAGTCACTGGACCAGTTAATGATTTATTAGTCTAAGTTGAGAAATAATAGAAATTTTGGTTATGGAGCAGAGGTTCTTCAATTTCTGTGATGCTCAAGATTAAAAACTAGAGTACATATATTTGCAGAATTATTTTCCTTTATCTTCTTTATTTAAAAAATAAAAATCGTATATGCTAGACCAAAAAGGTTGCTTAGCATCCTTTCTATTATATTTAGGCTTATTGGTGGAAAAAAAAAATCAAACCTTTATGACAATTATATCTGAACCTTTAAAATTTGGTGGAAAACCCAAACCTTTGTATCATATATAGTTCAAAAAAGAAAAAGTATCTAACCCTAAAATAATTCAATTCGCTCTATTTAGGTATTAATTGATGGCTATAATTATTGAACATGCTTTTATATATGTAACATATTTTTTTGAAGAGTTTAATTTTGAACTTTTAATTGTATAAAGTAGACATTTGTATACATTATGTTTTTCAAAAATGATGTTATGTTGTAATTTTTTAAATAATTTGTGCACAAATTCATGAAAGCCAAGTTAGATTGGATTGTTTCTTGGATTGAAAATTATAATTGTTACAAAATACTTTGTCAAAATTTGAAGGTTTTAATATAATTGATATGCAGAATTGGCTATAATTGTCACAAAACACAAAGGTTTGGGTTTTTTTTTACCAAGTTTTAAAGTAGATATTACAAGGCACAAAGGTTTGGGTTTTTTCTGCCAATAATTATCATGTTTATTGCTATTTTTGGAAGCTTCAACAACCCATTTATACTCATATAGCTTAAGTCATTAGTCTTTTTCTTTAACCTATTTTAAGTGTTATATAAATTCTGCAGGAACTGGGTGTCAACTGCATAGAGCTAATGCCATGTCATGAATTCAATGAACTGGAGTACTATAGCTATAATCCTGTCTTGGGTGACTATAAGTAAGTGTTCGCATTTTCTAAAGTATATTTGTACAATTTCAATTGATGATGTGCTCTAATGATTATATGGTTCTGGTATTGGATTAACAATTTGTACCCGTCTTCTAATTGTCCAGTCCTGTGAAGAATTACATTCTCCTTGATTCTTAAGTAAGAGGATATTTATTAACTGTGGGTCAACTTTGTAGGCATTGAATTGAGATGCTCATTTATGAATGTTATGATTGCTAAGACTGTCTTTCTCACAGTATGATTGCTTTGCTGAACTTCATATGAGCAAATATAGATGTACAAGGAGCAGGAGTTAAGTAGCAGTTATTTCAATAACAGATTCACCTAACATAGTGGATATCTCTAGGGTGATGAAGTTTTTAAACTGGCAGAATGTGGGTTCCAATGGAAGGCTGCTGAATGAGTGGAATCTCTTTCCAGTTTCTTTTTTATGGTGTGCTGTGTGGCCCAAGATGATTAAGTATCTCCCTGAAACATTTGAAAACATAGAAGATCAGGTTCATTTTATGGCATTTTGAGGGAACTAAAAAAACAAAGAGTGTTCTGAGGAAGATTTCTTTGCAGGAGGAATTCACAATATCTTTTTTGGAGGAATGGAAGTTTAGCAGAATAGTTGGGATCGTTGTTAGCTTCTGAATATCTGAAGTTCAGGACATTTTTGCTATTGCTCAACTATAAATCTACATTACTTTCTGTTTCTCTGCTTACCAAAGAAAAAATGGGGAAGTATGAAACGAAGTAACAAATAGGAGATTTAAGTAGGTTTTCTCCAGACAAAATTCAGTTTTGGTGCAAAAGAAGATTCATAAAACTATGAGCCACAAAGATTTCAGACAACCCTGCACATGGAACTTGAATCCAAAAACAGACCAAGGGCTTTTATTTGCCTTGGGTAGATGAAGTATACTGTATACCATCTCCAACCTTTTTGATAAAATAAGTTATTGCACCTTGATATCAAGTTTTTGTCTAACTTGGCATGAGCAGCATAGTTCCAGGCTTCCATATGCATAAATGTGTTCTTGTGGACCGTTAGTGGAAATTCATTTCGGTGGTATACAGAGAATAGAAGCAAAGATTAACAGTGATTATATGGTAAGAAATATAATTATGTCTAGTGGATGAAACACAACTGTTAAGAGTCCACATTGATAAAATAAGAGAGAGTATATGGGTAATGGGTTTATAAGGCCATGGGTTAGACTAACTAATTGGTTGGATTCATCTTTTAGTGTGGTTTGGCCTATGTGTATTATAGCCCAATTGAGTGACCTTAACACAATCTTAGTTTATAACATGGTATCAGAGCATGTTCGATACACTTTGGGTACACTTTGGTGGTGTCCAGAGCTTTTGTCCATGGGGTTAGACTAGCTAATTTGTATTATAGCCCAATTGAGTGACCCTTTTATAAGATTATAACAAATTAACAACAATTCACTTTACAAACTAAAGGTCATGTTTCATCTTTTATGCTATTAAGTTTGATCAAATTTTGTTGTAAGAACTAGTATTACTCCATAATTATTATCACAAATTGTTTCTGGTGGACATTTCTTCTCAACTTAAATGCTACAAGTTTTTGTTGTTATTGTGCTAATTTGATAGTTGCTTTACCTTTCAATGGATTCTTTGCCTTGTTGTTCATTGTGTTCCCATGGACCTTTTTCTGATTAGGGTAAACTTTTGGGGCTATTCAACTGTCAATTTCTTTTCTCCAATGGGAAGGTATTCATCTGCTGGGATGCACAAATCTGGTCTTGGTGCCATAGATGAGTTCAAGTATCTTGTTAGAGAGGCACATAGAAGGGGAATCGAGGTGAAAGGCTCTCCTTCCTCATCTTTCATTCATTTTTGTTGTGTTATTCTAAACTCTTACTTATACTCCAACAGGTAATCATGGATGTTGTTTTCAATCACACAGCGGAAGGGAATGAGAATGGTCCCATGTTCTCATTTAGAGGTGTTGACAACAGTGTCTTTTATATGCTTGCACCCAAGGTATTTTACTTGAATGCCAATCTTTTAATGCTTCTAACCTTAGTTTTTAGCATAAGAACCAATTTTTTGGTTCAGTTATGCCATATCCTATATGTGTGCTTTGGTGCTTCCTCTTTGAATTCTCAGTAGCTCAAATTCTTTGCCTCTTTATTTTTTATTTTTTATTTTTTATTTTTTTTAATTTTTTTTTAATTTTTTTACCTTTGGTTTGTGGATCTGCATAGAATTTGTATTAGACTTGATTATACAATGTTGTTTTTAAGCACTGATATCTTTCAGTGTTTGTAATAAATGAGCAGCCTATTTTACATAGCCTCCACAGCATTATTAAGCTAGAACTTTTATAAATTGGAAATTTTATTTGTTCATATTTTATTTTATTTTTATAAACTAGAATATTCTTCAGTTCTAATGGATAACAACCTAACTTCCATGTGCAGGAGAATCACATGCCCCCACATATTTGTTTTCAGTTTGTATAAGAAAATAATTATATATGGAGTACTAATGATTGTTGAAATGTTATAATATTATACCTTTTATTTGTACTTTATATTTTTATATGCCGTTTAAGGCAATATATGCTTTCTAATGGTTTTAATTTTGTGAGCTCATATTGGGTTTATTAAGCCCCATATCTTTTTCCTTACAATTTTTTATTTTATTGCGTTTGTAGGGAGAGTTCTATAATTATTCCGGCTGTGGAAATACCTTCAACTGTAACCATCCTGTTGCACGCCAATTTATATTGGATTGCTTGAGGTGAGTTATTCTCTGTGCCTTGTATTTGATGTCTATACCTTATCATCTAATCAGTATTTAACTTCAATCTAAGAAATATCATGTGTGTTTTCAGAGAAAAAACTTTTCCAAAGGTGTTAATATGATAATATCTATAATTAAACTTATTGTGAATATGCCTTAGTTGAAAATTAACTGGAAATTCTAGAGAAGAAATTGCATTATGTGGCTATTGGTATAGGTGCATGGAGATGTAGCATATACCTAAATTTAGAAAACACATCTTGTGAAACATGAATATATACCGTATTTTGGGCATTTTGAAGAGAAGTCTGATTATAAAGAATTTAGCACAATTTTTTGTTTTCCATTTTTCATTCTCAGTTTTTCAAATTTTTCCAAGTTTTCATTTTCTATTGGAAAACTATAAAACATGTTAAAAATTTTATAAAATACAAAGTTATTTGGAATTAAATTATTTTCTTAATATTAAAATACAAATGTCAATGATGAGTGATAATAATATCAAATGATGATGATGGTCTAGGCGTCTAGCATGTGTTGGTTGTTTGAGAGTGAGATTTGAATTTTATTTTGGATAATCAATGTTTCAATTGATATTTTTGACACTCAATATTTGAATTATTTTCGAAATGTTCAATTCAGGTAAATACATTTCAATTAATTAATAAATTAATATATCATTTATAATTATATGCATTTATAGATTACGATTTTCATCTTCAAATAAAGCATAGATGAAATTTTAACATGCAATATTGGAACAGAATTTATATTCAAATATACAATAATTAATAATATTTGAACCAATGACCAATCAGGTTCATCTAAAATTCAACATTCAGTTTGAATTTGGAATTAAGATAATGTGAATAACATCCAATCCTAGGTGTAGGTAAGTAGGTTATGTTAGGTTAAATCTATAGAGGATACAGTAGAGGTTATGTGGTCTCATTATTATGCACACAATCACATATATTATATCTGTTATAATATGCACATTCACTTTCACATGCTTCATATTTATATCAATTTTGGGGTTGCAAAAGAGACTTTTTTGGAATAAGATTACATCTTTGTCAAGTACTTCACCTCTTTCTTTTTTCCTTTTTGTACTTAAAGTATACTCAGTTCTATGAGGCTATGAGCTGCATTTCCCCCCATGATTATTTGCACCACCTGCGTGGTTGTCTGGTAAAATATCCTCAGGTTATCAGAAAACTAAAAATTGCCTGCTGACAGGTATTGGGTTATAGAAATGCATGTTGATGGCTTCCGCTTTGATCTTGCTTCCATCCTGACGAGAAGTAGCAGGTACTGAAACATGAAATTTGTTTCTCTGTTTCTGTTCCTATTATGGAAAAGCCTAATACTTTTTTGCTTTATTCAAAAGATGGAGAAACATGTATTTTTCTTTTTTGTTTTCCAGTCTCTGGGATGCTGCTAATGTTTATGGAAATTCAATTGAAGGTGACATGCTCACAACTGGAACTCCTCTCTCTAGCCCACCATTAATCGATATGATTAGCAGCGATCCAATACTAACTGGAGTAAAGGTATTCAAATTCCTTCTTTATTCTCCTTTGGGAACCAAAGCTTCATCTTTCATCCCCTTCTTTTATAAGAGTATCATAATAGATGTTAACAATTGATTAACAATGTCTGAGCACTTTCTGAAGTATTTTGACATTATTTTCTGCTTATCTATGCACATCTTATTTAGGTAGAAAGCCTTCATTGGTTAAATCTAGCGACTTCCTGTCTGTTCTGTAACTGTTATTAGTCTGCATTTAAGAAAATAATTTACCTTAGTTGTTAATTTATACACATTGTAACTAAAATCATTACTGGCGTTTCTGCATTATTATAATTCTTATTAACAAGCTAACTGAATGTACTTTTAACTATTCAAGTAGCTTATAGCTGAAGCATGGGATTGTGGAGGCCTGTACCAAGTTGGTGCATTTCCTCATTGGGGTATCTGGTCAGAGTGGAATGGGAAGGTCAGTCTCGATACAGTTATCTTGTAATTCTAGCTTTGTTTAGCTTCTTTCTTTTCTTCATGCTCCTCCTTACCTCTCTGCATTTATCATTGTACGTTAGTATTAGTAATAAGACGCGAAGCGGATTCCTTGGTTATTTAGAAATTGTTTTAATGAATTAATTACAGTTTATTTTTTCAATGGTGTTTGTAGATGACAGTTTTTTCTATAATATACATGTAGTTTATGGTGTCACACATGTATTTTCCTCTAATGTAAGAAATCAACCAATAATGTCCTCTTAGAGAAACTGATAACTAGTTCTGTGTTTTTGTTTCTTTCAGTACCGTGACATAGTGCGACAGTTCATAAAAGGTACAGATGGGTTTTCAGGGGCTTTTGCTGAATGCCTTTGTGGAAGCCCTAATTTATACCAGGTATATTCATAGTTAAATGCTTTTAACCAGCCAGCTATGACTTTGGGAAATCAATTACTGAATTGCTGTAACTATTTTGCTATTTGTTTGTAAGGAAGGAGGAAGGAAACCTTGGAACAGCGTAAACTTTGTGTGTGCCCATGATGGTTTCACTTTGGCTGATCTGGTGACTTATAATGATAAACACAACATGGCAAATGGGGAAGACAATAAAGATGGAGAGAATCACAATAATAGTTGGAATTGTGGCCAGGTAAACTGTGTTATTGAACATCTCCTTTGTTTTACACAAAGTCCATGATCAGATAAAAGATAGGTATACTAACATACTGGAGTTCACTGTGTAGAGAGGGTATACTATGGAAAATACTATTAGAAATACCCAGTCTACAAATTTATAATGAACCCTGCGATGAGGCTGACATCCTTGACTCAAGCCCTCATTGACATTATAATGATGTTAGTGTACAGGTTGTATGCCATGCATTTGATCTAATTCCTGAGAGTTCTTTAATTGATGAATATAAGTATTTATTTGTGAAAAGTTCAGATGATGACCCAATGTTGTTTCATAAAGAAAAATCCTGGAATTGATAGATCTTTTTAGTGGAAGGTATATAGAGGGTGCCAATGAGCATCACTTGTGTCTCTATGAAGAAATTATTGTTGGGTGTTAGGATTGGTAGTGTAATACAAAGAAGATTTGTTGCAGATGGTGGTTTCTTTTCCCGTTCAAAATCATTGTCTTAGTACAGTGCTAATATTTGTGTATGGTTGCCTCCTAATAATAATGTATAAACAATAGAAATTGTATTTGAGGAATATATACACTACTGATTCATCTATGTAATTCAGGAGGGAGAGTTTGCAAGTATCTCTGTGAAGAAATTGAGGAAAAGGCAAATGCGAAATTTCTTCCTCTGTCTAATGGTTTCCCAAGTAAGATTCTCCACTCTTTTGAGGTTCAGCAATTGAAAGATATATGTGCATCGTTCATTTCTGGTTCCTAATGATAAATTTATATTCCTTCTGTTTCACAGTTTTGATCACTAGTATAATGAATAATGACTTTAAATTGCTTATCCTGTCACTTTGCTGTGTATATAATATATGTATTAAATATGTATTATAAATATTTAATACATATATATACATATACATATGTGTTTGTGTATTAAAGTTCCATATCGAATGCATGGAGAATGACTCTTTTTTTTTCTCTCTCTTCATTTTTGATTCCATGTTCAAAATTAGGGGAGGGAAAGGGTAATAGCTTGTATCATTACTAAAAAGTGAACATCATTTTAGAATAGACTAAGAAGGAAAGCAGGACAAGTATAATGGGATGGAGGGAGTAACTTTTTTCCCATGCACTTCTCTTAATTGACAAGAAAACGTGTATTTTCATTACAGTTTCTGTCAAATGATAATATTCTAATTTTGTCAATAGATTCAAGCATTTCAACTAAAATTGCTATACATTTATTCTTCCTCTATAATATTAGCCTGATATATTCCCTGATTTCTTCTTCAATTTTTTATGGTTTTGTATTATTTAACTTCAGGGTGTTCCAATGATCTATATGGGTGACGAGTATGGCCATACAAAAGGAGGAAACAACAACACATATTGCCATGATAATTATGTAATAACTTGATACCTTATTGTTCTCCTTTTATTATCAGGTGCAATTCCATTTGTAATCCAACTCTCTAACGCTTTGGCTGTAGATTAACTACTTCAGATGGGATAAGAAGGATGAGTCCTCCACAGATTTTTTCAGATTTTGCTGCCATATGACCAAGTTCCGCCAGTAAGTATATTATTTTTTTCTTGATTTTCAGCGTAATTGTAGCTTGATCACTTGATTGCGGTAATTTGGGGCAAACAAATAATACCCGGAGTATTCGGGTTATCGAACCACAGGGAGATGGGGTACTAAGCACTAGCTACTAGGTTACTCATATGGAACTAATCTGAACGAAACTTGAAGATTGGATAATTGTAGAAAATAAAAGGCAGAATAAATAAATTAATAAGGTTTTGTAAGCAATAGAGCAAAGCAGGATTCTTGGGATCGCAATGTTTACTCACCTAGTGCCAATTAAAGTTGTAATATACTAATATTTAGTTTGGAATTAAGACTTGTGTGAGAATGCAATGTGGAATCGAATTACTCTCGTAATCTCTATCCCTAGTGAATTTCCACTCTCGTGGCTTAAACACTCAATCAGAACGAAGAACAACATTCATTTATTCCCAATTACTACCATCTCTCGATGCGCAACAATCTAGAATAAATTCCTCAACCAAGTTGTCCTTTCTCAAGGTATAACTGTCAAGTGCAATTGTGTGTGCCCTAATTTATGCCTAACTCTCGTTATGACATGAATATGGCTGTGAAGCAAGTAATTTAGGCCTTTAATTACTAACAACAACAGATGAAAACAAGATTGCAACACAAATCATAAAACCAAACATAAATATATTAAAGAACTAAAGAACTAGGTACATAAGTTCATAAACAAATTCACCCAAAAATCCCTAAGGGTTTTAGCCACTCATGGCCATAATAACAATCAATACAATCTTTAAAGATAAACAAATAACAAAAGGAATAAGAGAAAGAGTGAAAGAATTCTCCCGAATCTTCCTAGCCAATTCTCCACTCCAAAGCTAATTGTAAATCTTCAAATTAGTCCTCTTGGTTCTTGCTCTTTGTTGCCTTCCAATACCAAAATCTGGGAAAAGAAGAACTCTAGGGTTGATGGAAGATGATCCTTTTATAGCGGGAACCCAATGGGATTATTTTAGGAAAATTCCAAATTTCAGCATTCCGCATTCTCGACGCGTCGAGGCTCTGATGCTTCGACTTCTTCCTCTTTTTGATCCAGTCGTGCTTGAAAATCTCCCCTTGCTTTTACACTTAGCCTGTAATAGTGAAAAAAACACTACCAAACACCGTAAGACATTCAAAACAAGTGTAAAACCATATTCTAACGAGAAAGCAAGGAAAACACGTATTAAATAGGCACGATTAAATAAATTTGTTACTGAGATGAATCAAAATAGCTATAAAAACATGCATAAATGTGATAACATCATCACTACTCTTTGAGCTTTGCAGTGAAGCTGAGTCACTTGGCTTGGATGATTTCCCAACAGCAGAGCGGCTGCAATGGCATGGTCATGCTCCAGGGGTGCCGGATTGGTCAGAAGGCAGTCGCTTTGTAGCATTTACACTGGTATTGTTTTCTGAACATTTTTACAATTCCTTGTGTGGTTTCAATAACGCAATAAAACCAGTTTACGTTTTGAAACATGAAATCGTCAGATGCTACCGGATGCTTTGAATCAATTTGACCAAATTTTGATTTATGATATGATAAATTTAAATTTTGGAAACGTAAGTTTTTAGTAAACTACAAAAGGGTGCTTGAAACCATAATTGAGATCTCAAAATGAAGAAATATATTTCAATACTTTGGGATGAAAAATGTATGTAGTACACTCTTGGAAAGCAAAATGGCGAATAAAAATGGAATGGACGGAGTATTAGAATTGCAAGAGATTTAGTATTTAAATGAGAAAGCTAGCTCTTTTGTTGTGTTGTTATTATGTTTGATTGCTATCCCCTATCAGGAAGTTGGAGCGTCCTATATATAATAGTTGTAAAGGAGAGTGAATAAGAAGATGACAATCCTTGGAATGTGATGCAGAGGATAGATAGACAATATTGTGATGTAGCAGCAATGCTAAAGAATTAGCCTTGTTCTAGTGGTGGATGAGAGACCTTAGAAGAGCTCCTTTGGAGGCCTCACTTGAATACTAGGTGGCCTCAGAGCATTACTGAAGTGGTTAGTTGAACAAAGGGGAGACCTCAAAAAAACATTTAAGAGGTCAGGCTTGAAGTGTCCGTGACCCGGGAGGTTTTGTTTGACCAACTTTTAGGCTAAAACGTGCATAGGTAGACTGTTAGGATCAAGCACCTTGGCCCTTCACCGGCCTCCACCCACAATTCCCCTTCCCAGCACCTATCAGCCTTAATTTCACAGTTTTTATACCGCTTGTTAGGATCAAAAGCTATAGCTAAGACACAATTTTATTTTCTTATACTGACACATTTTCGAGAGATAGGGTGCTACTGTGCTAGACTTGGCCCTTCGCCGGCCTCAACCATATAGACCATATCATGCCATTAGTCAAACCCAGTCTTCCTTATGACTTGAAAACAATGCAGGTGTAGTTTATGTAAGCATGCTATTTTAGATACAAAGTGATTCATAATCCATTCTAGTTATGGATTATTTGGCTAAATAAGATAATCCTTATGGAAAATATTTTAATCTATAATTCCAATAATAAATTAAATGACTTTTACCAAACACCAACATACATAACAAAGTTGTAAGCTAACAAATCTTTTATCATCTTGGTAATAAGTAAGAGTAACAATCATGGGGATGTTTATCATCGAACTCTGAAACTGATAGATAGATCATGCAAAAATGAATATTGCAGGTTGACAAAGTGAAGGGAGAAATATACATTGCCTTTAATGCGAGCCACCTGCCCGTGACAGTTACGCTGCCGGAACGAGGTGGTTATCGGTGGGAGCCGTTGGTGGACACCGGCAAGCAAGCTCCATTTGATTTTCTTGGTGATGATGTTCCGGAGAAGAAAACAGCACTGAAACAGTATGCTCATTTTCTCGATGCCAACATGTACCCCATGCTTAGCTACTCTTCCATAATTCTGTTGCTATGCCCAGATGAAATGATAGATAACTCCTAGAAGCCAGAGATGAGATATCATATTTGACCTGGTATACACTATACGTTGATGTACCGGGTGTATAAATAAATAGGCGTCCATAGTTATTGGACTTGCCATGAAAAGGAGTGTGTTTTATCATATTGCATTGTTGGCCCTTTTATTTTACATCAAACAGGCGTTAAATGGTTTTAGGGAAAATTGCATATACTCGTGGTACAAACGTGTGTGACCATCTTTAACCCTTAAGTTATGCACGAAGTGACGATTTTAGTCTATCGAGAATTATTTCTACCACCAATTTGTCACTTAATAAAGTGGCTGATTTGGCCTTTCAAGGTCTAAAATCGTCACTTTATGTATAACTTAGGGGTTACAGAAGGTTATGCATATAATTTAGGGACTAAATCTGTATTACGAGTATAACTAGAGGACAAAAATGTAATTCTCCCATGATTTTACTTGCAAAAATATCAATTTCATAACTTGAGTTATTTTTTATTTATTTATTTATTTTTGTCAATTTTGTCTCATTCTAAAACCAGAATTTATTAACTTGGTCTAACTTTTGAAATCATTATGACTGACAATAAGAAATCAAAATGTGATTCAAAATATTCATAAAAAATATTAAACATAATTAATTACATAAAATGGTTCAAATAAACAACATATATATTCTCTATTAATATGATGCTGGTAAAGTATAAACTATGTTTTAAAATACCTTTCATAATTAAATCACTGAATATATTTTACATAAATTAATTAATCAAGTTAAATAATTTTTATCATATATAACTTATTATAATCTCACAAAATAACACATGTTACAAATATAAGTAATACATTACTCAAATATAAATATATTTTAAATTTTTAAATGACTTACAAATAAATCTATATTATAGGTGGGGCAAAATTTTATGTGGACCATGAATAAAAAATACATTTTTAATATACTAAATGTAATTATTTTATGTATTGATTGTACATTATTTGATACGGAGTAGTATACAAAATAATGTACTTTCAAATAATGTACCTTCAATATACAAATAATGTACATGATAAAAGGTATACTAGGTTGATTAAAATGGATCGGTCCAAGAAAAATAATTGGATCGAAGAAGCTCAAAAGGAAAGCCTGACACGAAACAACAAAGGAGTTTCGATAGGATTAGGCTATCATATTAAAAATGTACATTTTATTCATCATCCACACGGTTGTGTAAACTATGGTCCATGAAATAATGATTGATTGATGGGGCCATGGACCCAATTTTATTAGAAGAGTTTTGGCCTAAGGGCATCCTCAATAGTGGAGATTTTGGTATGGTTTTTGAGAAGTTTTTGTAGGTGTGATTAGCAAAGAGAAGATGTGATAGAATAGAAAAAAAAAAAAAAAGATAAAAAACAATAAAAGTTGATTCTTTAAAAAAAAAAAACAAAGTGGACCCCACAGTTATGCAACACACACAAGAGAGAGAATGAGAGAAGCTAGCAAAGTGGACCCCATATTTCTGACATAATTCTTGTTTTTGCAGGCGAAAGATTCAGTCCAAATTTTGCCTTCCCATTTGTTAAAAAGTAATCCATGTACATTTTACTGTTCTAAAATTAGGGGATGAACCCCCTATTGGGGTTGCCCTAAGAAGAAATAAAGGGTTCTTTTATGACCTAGAAGGTGGGTGGTAAAGGATGAATGATGGCCCAAGTATGGGGGGTGGTAAAGGAGGAAGGGTGGCCCAATGAGGGTGGTATAAGAGGCATGGTAGCCTGAAGGTGTGGGTAGGAAAGACTTGTTGACCCATGTAAGGATAAAGGGTGGACAACGACTGGCCCCGCAAGTGTGAAGTGGCAAGCGCCCCCTGCCGTGGCCATGGTAGGCTGCGACAGTGGCGTGGCGTGAAGGTGTATAGAGAGGGGTAGGGGAGGAGGTAGAGAAAAGGATGAGAAGTTTGATATGTGGGTGAAGACATGAGGCAAGGCATGGACACATGGGTGATAAATATGAAAGATAAATTGGATCATACACTTGTCAAGCCATGAAATGAGTTTTAACACTATAAAAGGGCACCCTGTCTCACTTTTGGACATTACTGTTTGATATTGTTTTTAGTCTACTACTTGGGTATCATTTATTTATTTTTTGGACCGTTAGCTCGATACGTACTCTTTGGACCTAACGGCTATGGTAATAAAATTATTATTTTCTTACCCAACATTATGTACATACATACACAATTTATGGTAGACTTGGTCCGATAAAACTATCATTGGCGCCGTTTGTGGGGATTGTTACGAAAAGTATGTATTCATAGTTTCTACTTGTTTTACCATTTCCCTTTATGTAACCAATCCCGAGCTACGCCAAAATGGACGAGTCACAAAGTGAATGTTCCCTAGATCCGCAAGAACACCTTAGTCGACAAGGTGGGGGTTGGTCCGGTTCGCGAAGATTGGTTCCCCACCCAAAAAGTAAGAGGGATCTGATTGGCACCATAGTCGTCGAAGGGGGTGTTACCCAGTGATGGAACTACATGGTAAGGTAGGGAGGCCTTGCCTGGAGTTTCTCTAACATTTATTTCTCTTTTGTTAAACAATTAACGAATTTGGTTGCTCATTGCTTAGCTAGGAAAGTCGTTTCTAAATCTAACAGTGTGAAGTGGGTTAGAAATCCCCTAATTTCATTGCTGAGTTTGCCAGTTTGGATCTTAATCATTAATGAAGTTTTTTTTTTTTTTATTTAAAAAAAATTTGATTAAATTAATCTTTTAAATATTTATTTTCAGAATAATAAATACTTTCTTTTTACTGAGCTATCACTAGTCGCTATTGTTGGTCAAAAATTTTGAAAAAAAAGAAAAGAGAAATTGAGAATTGTGGAGAACATCCCATTAACCCCACTCTCTCCCTCAACCAACTTCTGGAGAGTTCGGGAGAGAGAAAAACGCTTTCTACTTTTACTAGGAAATTTCCCCTCCTATATTATATACTGCATACTATCCATTCCCACTCAATTTCAGGAAAGAGAATTTCCTGTTTCTGTTGTTGTTAGGGTTTTGCAGAAGAAATTTCTCTTCGATTCGACCATTATTAGGGTTTTGAAGAAGGAATTGCTTTCGTTTTAGCTTGCTCCTAGTGTAAGAAGGAGGAGAAGATGAAGATGGATGGATATTATCCTTTGAAGATGAAGAGGAAGGATCTCGAGCAAGTCTCCGATGAATTCTCCGATTTTTCCCTCTCTGCTCCCGCCAGAAAAATTCGCCGTCTGGTAATTTTAAATTCTATCATCGTCGTTAGTATTTATCTTTATTTTCTGGTTTGGTAGCTATTAATTGATTAAGCTAGTTCTTAATCATGAGTCTAGCTGAGCAGAATATTGTGTGATGTTTTAGGATGCTGAGTTGCCGCCCATATTGGAAGAGATTGAGGATGACCGTGATATTCCGGTAGCATTTGAGCCATCGCCGAGTGGACAGAGCTTCGGAGGCTATGGAAGGAGGGGTGTAGTGATTGAGGAATTGCCGGATGTGCCTGATAACAAGGAGACTGCCATTGTGCTTTTCAAGCCCATGGATACACCTTTCGTTCTCTCCCCCCAGAATTTCTCCGTTAAGATCGATCCTCAGTTCATTTCTGAGTTGAAAAGTAAGTGCATTTTGATTCTGGCAGAAGCCAGCTAATTGCGAACTTCTCTTTTCTTAATAAGATTAACTGTAATTACTGCTAGATAAGGGAAAATGAGATAATTGAAACCATTGTAGTTATGGATAGTTCTTGTAGCAGCTTTGATTTGGTTGCGTTTGTGAGCATTACAACTTGAACTATATGTCTAGCAGAGCCAGTAATGGATTTCTGATTCTGGCTTGGAAAATTATGTTTGAATGTGTAGAATCCTAGATGCTAGGACTCATTCTCTCTTTACAACCTAGAACTTTTGAACTTTGGGGAGGTAATTCAACTTTTTCTTTGATGTTTAATTTAGGAGTTAATACACAATTTAGTCCTCGACTATAGTGGTTTTTCTTGATTTAGTGTTAAACGACTTTTTGTCTTTAATTAGATTCAAGGACTAAATCAAGAAAAATCATTAAATTGGTTTGTCTTTAATTAGATTCAAGGACTAAATCAAGAAAAATCATTAAATTGGGTAGAACCACCTATTGTTGAAGACTAATTTGGGTAAAATTATTACAATCGATGACTAAATTAGGTATTAATAGAGGTGAAATTAGTCAGTTATCTTAACTAAGGACTCAATTTAATAAAACCATCAAAGTTGAGGACTTAATTAAGCACAAAAAGTTGTTTAGGACTAAATTGAGAAATTCACTCTAGCCGGGAACTAAATTGGGTATTAACTCTTTAATTTAGTGTTTGGAGTTTGAGAGCTAACCAGTTTGAATATGTTGTGTTTAGATCAAGTCCCATGGCGAAGCCAATCCAATCCACTAGGGCAAGATGAAGATGGAACAAAAGAAATGGGCAACACCTCTGCTGCAAGAAACCAGTGCCTTGCAGTTGTTCCCTGGGTGCCATCTCAGTTCCCCACATCCCAAACCGACATTACAGACATGATGGATGCTGAAGAATTGGAGGAAGCAACAATGGAGGTTGAAGACAATGGCATTGCAGCTGCAGATGATCAAAGGATCATGGATATGGGTGGAAATGAGGGGCTGCAGCAGTGGCAACAACAGCATTGCATGGTCCCTCAGCCTCCCCAGAACGTATCTACTCCCATAACCTGGTACCGATAATAGTAAGTATATAAACATGTTGTGGTGATGGGGTGTGTTGCAAGTATGAGAGGAAGTAGTGGTCTGCCTTAGTCACCAGATGGTGAAGTATTTGATCTCTGTGTATTGTACAAATGTACAATGTCAAGGCGTTTGGCTGTTTAGCACATATGATTCTCTCTTCCTCCGCCATTTTGTAGATAAATATACATTCCCTGAATGGTAATGGACTAATGGGTCAAGTTGATTAAAACTTGATTCCTCAAAATATTATTATTGTCAGTAATTATCATTCATTATTGTATTAATTTACGCAGCAAGGAAATTGGAAATGTAAGTTTAGTGTGGATTTGGGGAATTTTTGGAGAGGCGAGACTGAAGTAGTGAAATTTTAATAGTTGAAGGGTTATTTTAGGTAAAAATTGTATAGTTAGGAACTAAATTGACTAATTTTGATAGTGGATGACTAAAGTAGTGAAATTTTAGTGGTCGAGAGACCATTTTAAGTTAAAAATTGCATAGTTAGAGATTAAATTTAACTCTAAAAATTACATAATTAGAGATTAAATTTAACAATTTTGATAATTGAGGACTAAAGTGATAAAATTTTTATAGTTAAGGGATTAAATTAGGTATTAACTTTTATAATATACAACCAATCAAATCAAATACTATATTAAAAATAAAACTACAAAATTTATGAAATTAAACGCTTCTATAATCTGTTGTGATTGATTATAAACGCGCATGTAGTTGCTTCCAAAAGTAACGCAAACCCACATGGCTATGTATGTTGTGCGCATGGGCCGCCAATCATGCCCTGCAGGCTCAGTATACGTATGTAGAGCAATGTAAGTCCAATCTAACTTAATCATTATTCTATGGATTGGGTTATACCAATCTGAGTTAAGATTTTTATTATTTAGTCCAATACAATCTAACCTAATCATTATTCTATGGATTATGGTTCACATATTTGTATGAATCATAAATAAAAAACATATTTACATTACTTGAAAGTATATGATTTTTATATATTATCAAATAATGTATATTTTGTACATAAATAATATATTTTAGTATATTAAAAATGTATATTGCATTCAAAATTCACACAACTATTTGAACCATGATCCACACAATAATTTGTCAATCTAACCCATATTTTACAATCATTATAGTCCACACAAATTCTCTAGACCATATTTTGTATATTGTAAAATAATGTACATTCAATACAAAAATAATGTATATTGTATTCAGAGGATGTACATTATTTTTTTACTGAGTGTACATTATATTGTATAATGTATATTCAATATAAAAATAATGTATATTTAGTATATTAAAAATGTACATTTTGTTATAGTCGACATAACATTGTGTGGACCATGGCCCACACAATAATTTGCGCATATTTTAACTCAACTAGTTCAATACAATCCTTTATATAATAAAGTTATATAGTTTGAGAAATATTTAATGTTACAATTAATGCAACAACATTCTTTATTATTAAAAAAAAATAAAAAAGCACAACATTTAAAAAATAAAATAGCTATATATATTATATAATCATATAAAAAATATACTTTTGAAAAATAAAATAGCTATATATTATATAATCATATAAAAAAATGTGTTCAATTAGAGTTTAAATTTACACCTACAAAATTTGAAATTTGCTTTCCAAATGTAATTATCTTAGTTATTATTCATATTGTGAAAATTATAATATAGATGTGGTAGGGAATATCCCGACCGGCATAACTTTACCCCGGCTGGTGTGTCTTTGTCTTTGTCTTCTTGTCTTTGCAGGTAACAGGTCGGGCTTCTTGTGAAGAACCCGGTCGGGGTCTGACCGAGAGTTGCCCGAGCGGTAGCCCTTAGGCGAGAGAGCTGGCGAAGGACACGTGGCGGCTCCACGCGTTGACAGGCAGGGCACCCGGGACGGCGACACGTGGTGGCTACGTGGGAAGCATGCCGAACGGCCGGATTTGTGTCTCCAGCTCCGCGGCTATAAATACCCGCGATAGCTATAGTGTGGGGGACTTTTGGACGATCGATAGGTTGTTGTTAGAGTTCCCGACCGCAGTCAGTCGGTACTCAGAGCAACCAAGTAGATTGTACTTAGGGCCTTCACCGTGATCAATAAAAGACATTTATTTGCTTTAATTGGTCTCGTACTTACTTAATTACTGTTTACGTAGCAATTAACAGTATCAAGATGAAATACAATTAAGAATAAATCAATGTAATTATGTAAATTCTCTCTATAAATTTATTTGAATATGCACATAATTAGAGATTATATTAACCATACAAAATTATAATTTTAATTTTAATTGTAATTTTGTATTCTATAAAAATAATAAATACTTGACCAATGGAAGCTCAAAAATATTATTATATTAAATAATTTAAAATATTTTAGTTTTTCTATTTTTTATTTATATTTATAATAACATAATTTTTTTCCGTGCATCGTGCGGGTGAATTACTAGTTTAAATAATAACTAGATAGATGATCAGTTAACCCGCCATATTGAGACTATTCAAAGAGAGAGAGAAAAGAGTGTAGAATAAGAATCTGAAAAAATATCTTGAGTAAAAAAATTTAAAGATATTTTTCAAAAATAAGCTATTTTTCTTTTGACCATAACGAGTATTTTTCATTGATTTTATTTTTTTATTAATAGCTAAACATTGACAAGAATGAGTTACAAAAGTTATTTTGGGTTTTCAAATGGACAAAGTCCTAAATAAAGTAAATTTTGAAACCAATTTGAATGAATTGATAATAGAAAATTAAAATATTTTGACAAAATTTACTGTGAACTATAGTCTATGTAATAATGTGAATCATGTAGAAAAATAGCGTTGTTTGATGTCTTTTCTGTTTAACAGTAATAGAAGGTAAATTCTATTATGGTCCATGTACTCACTTAGTAACCTCTCTCATTTTTCAATTCCATTTTATATACAATAATTACAAAGTCACTAATTACAGAGTATTATTTAACTACGATTTCATACAATATACATTCACCATGTGAAACTTGCTTTCAGTTTCAATATAAATAATGTAGTTTCATTACAACACTATTAATGTATCATTCTTATTCAAGTACAGTTTCATTTAACAATATACATTTAATATGTGATACTTGCTATTCAGTTTCATTTTATAGACATTATAGTTTCATTACAACATTACTAAAAAACCTGGATGCCCCTCAAATCATAACTACTGTTTCTTTTCATAAAAGAAATGGCGTTGTTTTAAGTCATGGTCCACATAGCTCTATATACCATGATATACTCGGTAATGATCAGGGACGGATCCATAAATTTTCTTCAGTGAGCGAAAGAAAAATAAAATGAAACACTTAGAGACTAAACCATAAATATTGTTGACTAGGAGTAAAAAAAAAAATAAAATACATTAAAACGCGACAAAAAATATTCAAAACAAAAACATAGTTCAAATAGAAATTACATTATAAATCACTCATCTCATTATTAATATTTAAAAGAAAACCCCAATGTTACATATAAAGGATACAATTAGAATTATAAATTAATCTCATAAATTATAATTATAATCTCATTATTAATATTCAAAAAGGTCAAAAAAATAAAAATTTTAAAATCAATACTTAAAGATTCAAACCCAAGACACTTCATACAGTAACACAAATCTAACCATTAAGCTAACTCATCCCTTGTTTTAATTTTTGTACATATAATATTGAGTTAATAATCATAATGGTCTCCCGACTATGCCGTAATTATCAATTTAGTCCTTGATTATTATTATTACTCAATTAAATTCTCAATTATGCAATTTTTACTCAATTTAGTCATCTGTTAGTTTGACTGTTTGTTGACTATAAAAAATGGGGATAAAGTTATAATTTTACAAGCTTTCTCCTTCCTTGTCATTTAGCAGCGCCAAACCATGCAACAATAATCTTCGATCGGCTTCCAAACCTACCAGTGCCGAAGTAGTGGTTGTGCATCGAAGAGCCCAAGGATTTGATTCCCAGCGATTTTTTTACGGTCGGAAGCCAGCCGGAGTGTATTTCTGCATAGTTTGGCGCAGCTAAATAGGGAGGAAGGAGAAATTTTGTAAAATTACAAATTTATTCCTATTTTTGACCGTCAACAAACAATCAAATTAACAGAGAATTAAATTAGGTGAAAATGGCATAGTTTAAGACTTAATTGGGTAATAATGATAGTTGAAGACCAAATTAGTAATTACGGCATAGTCGATGGACCATTTTGATTATTAACTTTATAATATTTATACAAGTTTAGTTTGTATATATAAAGAGCCCGTACATACAATCTTAATTATAATAAAGCCATATGGTCTTGTGAAAATTAAATGTTGATATTAATAGTTAAATGTTGGTATTAACAATATTTAACTTTCACAAGATAATATATATATATATATATATATATATATATATATATATATATATATATATATATATATGTGAATTGCAACTATGTTGATATTAGTTTATGTATTTTTTAATAAATAATATTATTATAATGTTGTTCAATATTCATTCCGTGCATCGCATGGGTAGCATACCAGGAGTAGACATACTCAAGATCAAATATATATATATCTCTAGGTGCGATTAATAATAGTAACTTTTTGTATCATACTATTTTCAATTATTAAATTAAATATTGTAAATACAATATCATAATTATTTTGTCATATATTTAATAAAAATGTAATTTTAAATAATTAAATTGTGGTTCATGTTTTCTTCTTCTGTACTTCAAATACCATTATTAAAAACATTTTTTACCTATTCTAACATTACAAACAAATCTTTAATATTTAGTCCGTGCATTGCACGGGACAATACTAGTATATATAAAAGGGACGAAGGTGGGGATGGGCAGCTGCCTGCCCAATTGTGGATCCGCCACCGGTAATGATTGAAATATTTTGAATTTTTGTTATTAACTCAAATTTATTCTTTTTCGAATTTTGACTCCTATTTTAAAGCTTTCGGCAAAATTTGGGCTGTCCAAAAATTTCCTCCACACAACTTTTATATGCTAAAAAATTTGTATGCGTAAAGAATCTCGGATTCACTACTCTCCCTGACATAAAATATAAAATATATATATACACAAGCTTCTCCTTCACACGTCCACGTTTCTCTCCTTCGCCATTAAGGGAGAGGAAGAAAGGTAAAAGATTCGATCTGACACCCTTTTCCCCAGTCGAAGAATATCGTCTTCTTTCTAGTGTGGCGTTAACTTCAATGTTACATTGCACCATATAAATCGTGCAATTTTAATTTCTTTTGTTATTCGTTTCATCGCGCAGACATTGAGGTTCACTCGCACCCATATAGCTCAGAGATCCCCGATTCATCTGTGTTTTCCAGGAATTCTCAATCCCATTTCCTCACCTTACAACTTTCAGGTGTTGATCCTTTTTTTTTTTTTTTTTTTTTTTTTTGGGTATTTTGTTGAGTTTCTATATTTGATGGTGAGATGTATTTTTGTTCTAATCCGCTGCTAAGATTTAGTTTGGGGGATTGATTTAATGATATTCTAAACCGCAATTTGTTGTATGTTCGACATTTGATGCTTTTATGGGTGCGGAATTTTGTTAATAGTATGATCGTTTATGCAATGCCCAGATCTTAAATCGTATTTGTTGTCCATTTTTTTCGTGGGTTTTTTCCGGAGCTTCGTGTCTGCTGTGTTTTTCTATTATTAGATTTGTTTTCCTGTCATTTTGGCTTCTGTGAGCTACATTTCACATTATTTTGCTGATTTTGTTTCAGATTTAATCCCTCCTAATTGCACTTTTTCATCAATTTATCTATACAAACTTTTTGCTGATTTCTGAAGTTGTATTAGACAGATTGACTTTTGTGTATACTTTGAGCAAGTCCAGCTGTGTAATCCACTTTACTTGCCTTTGACTCTTTTTCAATTTTCTAATTGCAGGGTCTTTCTTGCCTCTTTTAGTGAGAGTATAAAAGAGGCCTGAGAAAGGAGAAAAGGGTGGGGATCAATGGAGTTTGAGAGCAATAGCTGGATCAGGGATGGGGGGTGTTACTACCCTCATCTGTTTGGTGGTATAATGCTTACGGCAGCCTTACTTGGGCTGTCCACTAACTACTTTGGCAGGATCTATGTTCCTACTTTACCCTATCTGTTACCTGATTTGAGTGTTTTTCACAAGAAAAAACGTGCGAAGAGACGTGTCCGTGTCTATATGGACGGGTGTTTTGATATGATGCATTATGGCCATGCCAATGCCTTGAGGCAAGCCAAGGCATTGGGAGATGAATTGATTGTTGGAGTTGTCAGTGATGAGGAAATTATAGTCAACAAAGGTCCCCCAGTTTTACCCATGGAAGAGAGGTATGAACACTGCATTTGTAGCTAATATATTGTTGCTCGTGTTCGTTTTTTTTTTTTGTTCAAAATTTATTTTACTCCATATCTAAAATTATCTCATAGAAAGAAATATTAAAAAAAAAAAAGAAGTTTCCTTGCAAAGGTTTTTATTAGTATATAATTAGTATCTTCTGAAGGTAGAAGTGAATTTGTAATATATTCAGATGGCTGGTGAACTACAATGTGGGCTGTCTCCTTAATGATATTCAGATGGCTGGTGAACTACAATGTGGGCTGTCTCCTTAATGATGGATGTTCTTTGCTTTTTGCTTGATGCTTTAAATTTTTATTGTCTCAATATGTGGTTTCTCTTTCCATTTTATAGCATGAAAATGATGTTTGTGCCTATATGTTGACCTATTCAGTGTAAGTGTTGACATTAATCATGATGTCTAGGCTTCATCTCATATCCAGAAATATTTTAGAAGACAAAAATGCAGGTGTTGCTGCTACAGTGTGATCTGTTTTCATGATATAAAAAGGTGTCTCACAGTCATATAGATCAGTTTTCAGAGTGATGCAACTTGTAGTGTACCTTCTGACACTATGGACGCTGTTATCCGTCTAATATTACAATTTGAATTGTAAACTATATAGTTGTGACGTCCACAAACAAGAAAGACACACTGGATAGGTGGGCAGTTAAAAGAGAATATATACTTACTGGTGCCTACTAATTAGTGGAAAATGTGGGAACTAAATTGTAATGGTCCCAAATTTTATATTCAGACATACAGTATGGACCAAAAATGGATGTGCAAAAGAGGTAAAAGAAAACTGAAAAGGGAACAGACCCTATTTTGTTGGAAGTGAATTAGGAAGTAAAATGAGACAGGTCTTTTACAAGCAGCTTCAATTGCTTCAAAGTTAAATGGAAACGTGAAGTAAATGTCATTTACTTCTCCTCCTGTCAGGCTGTCATATAACAGGAAAGTTAGTGGGAAGGGGAACAAAATCTTTCACTCACTCTCCTCCCAATCTCCCTTTCCTTCCTTGAACCCAAGACAGCCTTAGTCACTAGAGGAACTTGAATGTAGATTTTAGTTGCCTTTTATAGTTGTATACTTGTATTATGCTTTTAAGGGAAGCATTTGGGACATGGTCCTCAGCTGCTTTTAAACTCATCTCCCACTACATTCATGTTGTTGCTGCCATACCCTTGGCTTGATGCTTAATGTGGAATGATCAAGTTACCAAACTTGCCATTGTGGATCAAACCACATGCTATAAGAATTTGTATCTTTGAGCCTAGTTACATTGCAACCCATCCTGAATAGAAGTTTAGAAATAGTAAGGACTTTGGACACTGACAACTTCAAATTTCCTTGTGTTTTCATTGGTATCTGCTGATCTATGGTTTCCTGTGTTATAGACAATAGTTTAAAGGCATGGGGGATAAAGTTGTTTAGTGCCTTTTATATCCCCAAGTCATATTTTTTATTTATAAAATGGAATTATCTCCATGAAAAAAAAACTTTTATGCTTAATATCTGCAGTTTGATCTGTCTTAATTCTGCTCTTTATTTGGTACTTCAACATTTTTTTCACACTTGTTTCTTTCATTCTTATAAGCTGATAGTGCTTTTCATTGACAATTTTACTATTTAGTTTATGAAAAGTTCCTACGCAGATGATTCTTCGTTCCCGTGGTTTTCTGACATCTAATATTAGGTATTTTCCAGGTTGACTCTTGTTAGTGGTTTGAAGTGGGTGGATGAGGTCATTGCCAATGCTCCCTATGAAATCACAGAAGAGTTTATGCATCGCCTATTTAATGAACACAAGATTGACTACATTATACATGGTGATGATCCCTGTCTCCTTCCTGATGGAAGTGATGCTTATGCCCTTGCTAAGAAAGCTGGTCGTTACAAGCAGATCAAACGCACTGAAGGTGTTTCCAGCACAGACATTGTAGGTACTATAATCTTCCTATTCTTTTTAGATGAAACTAGTTTTTACCTGGTGAAGAAATCTTTTTTGCAGTATAAAATATACTAATATTTCCCAAATATTTGCAAGGTTTCTTTTACTGAACTTAACCCTTTCCTGGGTTCTATGGAATGTAATTGTATGCTATCTTTGCTGATAACAATTATTTTGTTCTCTGCATTCAGTTAAACTGCAACAAAGACCTACTAGAAGTCCTTTTTATTTTTTTTAATTTTTTATTCCTTCATGTGAAAGGTGGCTCTTGTAAACCTCAAGACTATGGTACCACTTAAATGAACATTAGGTAAGAATTAGTACAGCTTTAAAGTTTAGACTTTAAGCTTCTCCTCATCCTGTCTAGTCAGCCTGAGTCATAATATTATTTCAGACCAGAAGTTCTTCATATAAAATGCTTCACCATTTAAATAGAATATTGTATAATGTTGTAGAAAAACTATTGCTAACACAGCAATGACGAGACGCAATACATGGAATGCAAACAAATGAGTTTGACAAGCATCTTCAATTTAAATATTTGACCTTGCTTATTGGAAAAATGGGGATTTCTTTAGCTTATTCTTCTTTTCTTGATAGTACTTCCAATGTCTCACAATGTCACAGGGAGCACTGCATTTTTATGCTGGTTCTTTTTCCAATCGGTTTAATGGAGTAAATAAATCATCTCCAGATATTTTGGCAATGTGTAATAATTTGCTCAAATTTCATCATAGATATTTCTGTAAGTTATTAAAAGAAATTGGTGCACTTTGTTTTCATGTTTTTATGTATGCTATTAGTGGGAATTATTTCCCTGTGAGGAGGGGGTGGGGGAATTAAACCTGGTTACCAAGGTGTGTGATAGAGGAAATGGTGCTCATTGTTCAAGTGTTTTTAAGAATTAATGATAGGATAATGCTTTCAGGAACAGATGAATGTTGCATTTCTGTCTAATTTCATTTCTGATAGTGAACTAATATCTTTTTGAGCTATAGTTGGATGCTTGAAAGTAGGGGCTAAGGAGGTTAAAAAATGGAGAGAAGAGGTTATTGCTGAACTGCATTCTGAATAGTACTTTTGATGTTCTCTAACAGTGAATTTGAATTTGGTTGAATTTGACAAAAGTTAGCATAGGGTCTGTTTGCTTTAACAAGTAATTAAGGATTTACATTTCTAAATACTGCTAGGGAGTTTCATAGCTTAAAGGTCTCTTGACTCCACATCTCAACAGTCTTGATATGAAAATCATTGTAACTGTACCAAGAAAAAGCATTGGGTATTTGGGTCTGTAGTATACCATGTGCGTGGCATTTTTATCTTATCTTTTATATTTGAGAATGATTTATGCCTTGTTCCTTTTCTGATTTTTTTCTTTGTTTGGCCAATAATTTTGCTTGTTGGGATCATGTTGGTGTGCAGCTAACACGAACTTTATCCCCCTTTTTTTTTTTTCTTTTGATTTGCTGAACTTCCTTACTTTTAATGTTTTTATTGTTTCTTTTTGTCACATTATTTACATATTTATGTTGTTCTGTACATGGAGCACTGTAGAGTATCTAGAAATATATTGTTGTTAACTACTCCCTGCTTGCCATATTTATTGGCCCTTTTGACTAGACATATATTTAAGAACAACTCAAATCAATTCATTTGACCTACTAGTTACTTTGGATAAAATATTCTAATAGTATCATCACTTCGAGAAATTTGCTTTCAAATTTCTTTTGAACTTTCACAGTGACTATCCATTTTTGGACAACTGAAAAAAAAAAGGGGCCACTAAAAGGTGGACAGAGGGGCTACAATTTTCATTTGTCATTCCCTTGAAAGACTTGTTATTGTTTGGTGTAACTTATATGAATCTAATTTCTTTAGGAAGGGTTCTATCTTCTATGAAGAATATGAAAAGTCAACAAGATTGCTCTGGATCATCTCAATCTGGTGAAGTTGATAATGTTGAGAATTTAAATCCTGTGAAAGATTGTGCTAAGGGTGGTCAGATATCACATTTTTTGCCCACATCTAGAAGAATAGTGCAATTTTCAAATGGCAAGGTACATCAAGTATACTCCTTAAATTGTACAGAAAACTACTATAGTTTATTTTTACTTTGTTTCTTTATATCTGGCGATACAACATTGATAGGGTTTTGCTCACACATCATCTGTTTAAATCATGATTTGAAATAGGATACATGAATTAATAAAGGTAAAAAACCGTAAAATTGCACTTTTTGTCCCTAAGTTATAGGGTAATGTAGGATTCGTCCTACTTGTTGGTCGTGCTCACTTCTCGTTCCTAAACTATAATTGTAAGATTCGTCCCTACTTGTTAGCAACTCGTTTTTCTGGATGCTTTAACTGACTGGTCTATTAATTTTACTTTTTTTTAATTTTAGGGGCCTGGGCCAAACGAACGTGTGGTTTACATTGATGGTGCATTTGACCTCTTCCATGCTGGTCATGTTGAGGTACATATAATTTATACTTTAGAGTCTTTGACAATAGTAGCCTTGAGCCCTTGATTAGTTTTTCTGCTGCTAATTCCTTCATCTATCTGCATGCATTTTGGTGTTCATAATTTCATATTAAATTCTTGGGGACTGGAGCATTTCTTTAGAAATATTTCCTATTCAATATACATGCTAAGCACATCCTAGTGTTGAGGTTTGGTGGTCTAGGCTTTAGAGCCAGGGACAGTGGCCCCCACTGAGCAATTTTAATCTATTACTGTTATTTCTGCACTGCTAAATTTTACATAAATGCTTTTCAGTTTTTATATATTTCTCTGACAACAAAGTCTCTCTGCATTTGAGGAAACCCAAATTTGTTCTCCTGTCAGTCTGTCCCTTTGAACAATGAATACAATATTGACCATCTCGATCGCATTAATTACTTCTTAAACCAATTACCAATCATTTTACTGTCTAAACCTGAAAATTAGACTTGATCCATATCATTAAGAGGGCGTCTGGTACTCTGGTACATTCCTATCAATTATATTCTTGGGAAAATATTTCCAAGGAATGTATCTAATGGCAATAACTTTGTAGAGAAAATTATTTAACATGTTTGGTTTTACCTGGAAACATAACAATTAAATTAACTAGAAAATTATAGATGTTTGGTTCATTTGAACTTTCTTAGAAATTTTTTAAAATTTCTAATATGCCCATCCTATCCTTCCTAGGATTCAGATTATGAATAAGACATGAAAACTCTATCAAAATATAGTAAATGAAATTCAATCAGAAGAGACATATCATTATTGAGGATTATATTTGAGATAGAAAACTAGTCAAGAATACTGTCTACGTACCTAGATACAAACTTCTTCAAACAGTCTTCAATTGTGGGAGAGACAAATTTCTTATATTTACAAGAGACTTTTAACCTAACGCCAAAAATGATAAATACGTGATTGAATAAATTTGGTAGATTCCCAGTTACCCGAGAAAAAAAAATCCCACCTCCCTTAGGTGGGATGTACTTTCCTTGATATCATGGAATTGGATTCTTAGTTGACCTGAACTTCCTAAGTCAAAGATTGCACCAAGTGTGAGAATAATTTTCCCACCTTTTAAATTCTCAAGGAAAGTTTGAATTTTCCTGGCTACCAAACGCCCTCTTAAGGAAAATCAAATCTAACCAAGACAACAAAGATGCACATCTATGATATTTAAGTTAGATGTTCAAATCGACCTTATCAAAAGTAAATTTGAGAGTGAAATATATTGTCCATGTGATTTAGTTTATAATATTTGATATAGAGAAATTATTATATCATTATAATCATAGTTAAAATCAAAAAAAGAATACTCCATAACATTTTAAGGATTTTAAATTTTAATTTTTAAGAAATAAATGTGTCATAATAAAATTTGAAGTACTTAAAATTCTATTGTCAACGTTCTTACAAACTACGTTGATCTTGAGGGTTGCAAATAAAGGGAATTTCCATGTTTCCCTTTGTGATGATTATCCAATGTTATTGTGGGATTTATAATGATTGTGTGGTGCCTAGGAAAAAGACATTTTTTTTACTGCGTTCCAAATGAGGCAATTTTACAGCGATTTTAGAATGAGAGAACATAAAGGAGTTCTATCTCATAGTTAACATGAAAATTGTATTTTGATTTATAATATGCATTCTAACAGTTTTATCTAATTGTGGTGTTTCCTATTTTGTCATAAATATTTTTTAATTGCTTTAATTTGCCTCCTGTCAAGTCAAATCCTGGCTCAGCCCTTGCTTAGAGTCGAAGAACTAGAATGTTTTAGGTTTCAAAAATTAAAATTAATAATTAAAGTAAAGAGCATAGAGCCATTATAGATGAACATAGTTGTCACCTGTCAGAAATTCAAGGGTGTACTGGCCAACTGGGGTTATGACCAGTTGGGGTTAATGTGAAAGGCAAAGAATTTACCCAAGTGTGCTGCACATTAAAATAAAATGGCATTTCTTATATCTGAAATTTCTAGTGTTCATTTTTGTGCTTTCCCAAAATAATGTCACTTCAGTTTTGTGCTTTCCCAAAATAATATCACTTTCTTAGATCAGAAATTTATTTTACTTTATTATTATTTTTATCCACTCCTGGAGTTTGAGTGAACTCCTTCCAACATCCAAATATTTGAAAACTACTTACACAGTTACATTTGTAAGCACAAGTGAACTGACAGTTTAAGTTCTGACTATACTAAATATACATAAAATAGAGTTCTTTTATCTTAAATACAGCAATGGTAGTTTTTCTTGCGTTCTACTACATGGACTCCCAATCTCTACTCCCTCACTTTTACTCCCTGATGTGGCAAGAGATGATAAGTTATTTTCATCCTGTGGGTCCCAAGGAAAAATTGAGTGAGGGAGTATAACTTAGGAGTCCGAGTAGTATTTTCCATTTTCTTTGTCTTCAGAAGTGTTTTCCAGTAATCACAATAATTCTCCTCTTTTTTCTTTCAGATTCTTAGGAGTGCCAGGCAACTTGGAGATTTTCTTTTAGTTGGGATTTATGATGACAACACTGTCAGGTATGAAAAATTTCTTCTGTGTAGTACAGAAATGGGAAACAGGGACACAGGACACAGAAAAAGGGCAATTATAAACAGTGTAGGACCCAAGGGGAAAGGTGTAAAAATAAAAAAATATAGGGATATGTTTGCAAATATATATATATATATATATATATATATATATATATATATATATATATATATATTTTTTTTTTTTTTTTTTTTTTGAAAATTGCAAATATTTTTCTTAAATATGCATAAATATTAATTCTCTACTAGTTCTATAATTAAAAGTTGTTAAGAGTCCACATTGAAAATATAAGAGAACACATATGGGTTTATAAGGCCATGGGTTAGACTAGCTAATTAATTGGATTCAATCTTTTAGTGTGGTTTGGCCCATGTGCATTATAGCCTAGTTGAGTGATCTTGGCCTGATCTTAGATTATAACAGAAGTAATATGCTATAAAGGGTATATGCACTATAAAAAAAATATAGGGTTATATAAGACTAAAGAGTCCAAAAAAGTAATAAGAATTTGTGTTTCTTTTGACCCTAACTTTTATTTATTTATTTATTTGTTTATTTTTCTAGCTAGACCACTGAAACACATTACCTTTTAGGAAACAACATTTCTGAATGTTTTTGAATATGGAATCTGCCCCAAAACATTTTGGGTCAGTTTTTGTGAGTTTCCAAGAGGGAAACGTGCCTGAAACATGGAAAGCTCCCCCTTGAAAAACCTTTTGTGCTTAGGTATTTCTTCTGTTGCACTGACAATTATCCAAATCAATTTTTAGCTATAAAACAATGAGTTGAGTAGCACATTTTGTCTGGCTTGTTTCATGTTCTTTGAACAAACTTATGGGAGGTGCTTCACACTTTTGATGTCCCATGATCTATAGTGATGGTGAAATTACCATAATCTTGTCCTATGGGTATATATAGCCATGTTTCCAAATATCAAATAAAAGACTGAGAAGTATTAGTGTTTCTTGCTTGCAGTGGAGTTCGAGGAACACAGTATCCACTTATGAATTTGCACGAACGAAGTCTTAGTGTTCTGGCTTCCCGTTATGTTGATGAAGTTATTATAGGTGCCCCTTGGGAAATTACTAAGGATATGGTATGCTTTACATCCACTTAATACAAAAGTCTTGCTTCTTGTTAAGTAAACTCTTTATGCATACTTTTCCTCATGGATCTGATGGTGATTATATGCCATTGTTTCCAAGAATATACACTAAACTCATGCAAATGACTCTTATAGTTTGTTAACATCTCAAAATATTTAGATTTGTCTTCATAAGAAATTAAGAATAGTTTTGTTTATTCCAAGTTTAGATTATGCTACAAACATGTACTCGAGTGTTGTTGAATGTGGATGACATGTTGGGAGTGTATCATAACAACCTTGATGTTAACTTGTCATTCTGATAATAATTATTAAAAATTATTCCTGCTTTCTTTTCTGAACAATGCCTTATGCCATTGCAATGTTCTTCCGATTATTAAATTCTGTGCACCATTATAATTTTTGTGTGGATCAGATAACAACATTTAACATATCGCTTGTTGTGCATGGCACTGTTTCCGAAAGCAACTCTATGTTAAAAGTAAGTCTGCATGCTCTTCTCACTATTATCCTTCAGTGTTTATCCATTTATGCATACAAATTATAGAACCAGTTTCCTAAAATGTTATGCATGAAACAGGATACCTGTGATCCTTATGCTGTTCCTAAAAGCATGGGAATCTTCCGAATAATTCAGAGCCCCAAAGATATTACCACCACTTCAGTTGGCCAAAGGATCATTGCCAATCATGAGATCTATGTGGTATGTGGTGTTCCGCTTTTTAGTTCTTGCGTGCATTTTGTATGTTTGGCAAAATATATTTAACTACATTGAACCATTATTTGAGATTATCGTCATGAATAACATGCTGGAAGACTGGAGCTAATGTCTTTATACCTTGTGCAGAAACGGAATGCCAAGAAAGAAGCAAGCGAGAAGAAATACTATGCAGAGAAGAAATACGTCTCAGGTGAGTAGAAGCATGCGATGCGATGGTTTCTTGCAACTAACTTGCATTCTAGGAGCAGTTGCTCCAAATTGAGGTAGTACTTCGTCTACCATTGTGTGTTCAAAGAATATATGAAAGCGGGGGCCTCATATTTAGGGAAGGGTACGGTATCACTGCATCACCCAAGTTTTTATATTATCTTCAGGTTTTTGTTTTAATCCCCCCTTTCAAATACCGGTACTGTAAGCTAGTTTCCTAACATCATATCTTCCTATTCTTTATGTAATAGTAAAGTAAAATGTTGTAATCCATAGTTAATTGTGTTTCTCATTCAATTTTGTGCATCTTTTTCTAGTATTTAAAACATTTATTATGTCTAGGAACACTTGCACTTGAAACCTCCAACCTTTCATGATGATTTAGCTGTGAGTGCAAACTCATATCATTTATATATGATTTTTTCATTAAAATGTACTGATTGCGTGTGGTTACTTGTCTGAGTTTGAAGGAACTTTACAGAAACAATCATTATATCGTAGACCATGGTTCACATTGCAATGTAAACTATTGTTATAAGTACATTTTTATTGTACTATATGTTCACTTTTAGTATTATTTAAGTTTATTTTTAGTATATTATTTAAAAATGAATATATAATATATTAAAAATAAACACTTATAAGTAGTTGACTTTGTAAAGCGACCATGGTCCACTATATAATTTGCCTTATGCAATATTTTGAATGTCCGAGTGTTGAATTTGAGTATAGTTTATTGCATACCCGGCTGAGATCTATGTAAAATGTGTACTCTATCTCGCTTTCAAATTTACAATTCATTATACTCATGGAGTCATGGGTGATGTAATCAAACTATGGTTGGGTATCATATTATTTAGGGTGTATTGGTTCGCACATGGGAATCAGAATCGGAATGAAAATCAAATACTTGGTAATAGTAATGGGTTTTAGTGAAAGTATTTTGCATGTTTGGTAGTATGATGGAATTAGAATGATTACCAATATTGTTGTTTGGTTATGTATAATTCTACAGATTTTAAAAATACAAGAACAAAAAATCAAGACAATTTGTTCTAATATAAAGACATCTAAAGCACTAATAATATGAACAAAAAAAGTAAAAACAAAAATATAAAAGCATTAATCCAAACTTAAAAATCAAATTACCAATTAGGTTTTTTTTTTTTGAATGCTACCGACTCTATTACATTGTAGTATCTGTTAAAACATACTTTCTCAATCTAAAACAAAGAGTCAACAACTCCTCCACTGAGGTTCGATCTCATGACTTTTTACATGGAAGAGGTTACTACATGCCATCTAAGCACAAAGTGCTTGGCAATGAAACTCTTATTTTATTAGGGAATGAGTTTTCTAATTAAGAAGGTAATCAAATCACATAGTAGTATTCTAGAAACCTGTAAACCAAACAGTAACAATAACTTCGATTCTCATTCCTGATAGCTAAATCCATTAACCAAACACACCCTTATTTATTTTTTGTTCAAAACGATAGAAAATTTTATTGTTCAAACAATATTATTCCCATAAAGATAATATAATAAGTCTAAAATTTAAGATACAATTATGCCAAATACTAATTAGCTTAGGCCAAAAATATTAAGGTCATGTTTGGTAAGATAGGTGATCAATCAATTTTGACTTGTTTGAGCACTATTGGTTATTTTATTTGGTTAAATAGTCAATAAGAGTGTTTGGTTAATCAGTTTTTTGTACCAGCTTATTATTTTAAAATGTTAAAATTCTAAAAGTTGCTTAAAACAGTTTTTTCGATCAGTTTTTTAAAAAAATAAATTATTTTTTCTTAAAAAAACAAGTTTAGTAGTCTCGCTTTCTAATCTCGTTACTCTCATTGTCTCTTCACTGTACTAGGCAACGGTGTGCTTTAGTCCGTTGACGAGGCTCATAAGCATGTTGCCTAGTATTGTAAAGGTAATTAACAACGGGACATGTGATTAGTGTGGTATATAGAATAATAATCAACTAAGACCACCTCTTTCTGTAAGATTTTTCATAAATGCACAAAAGTTACTGCACGAATGCACACAAAATAGATTGTGTGTAATTCACCTAGCATTAATTTGGTTCACGAGTGGAGGGTCTCCCAAGTGAAAAATGAGATGAGATCTAAGCCGTTGATTTATTAACCATAGAAAATTTTAAATTTAATTTTGTATGCTATAAAAATACATACCTTACCAAATATATAAAATGTTCAATATATTATAATATTGTACATTTTAATTAATTAATTAATTTATTTGAATTTATGATAACTTTAATTTTCTTCGGGGCAGTGTAAAACACTAGTATAACTACAAGCAAATGAAGCAACAAATGAAATATTATTATTATTTTTCACAATAAAACCACCACATTGTCCAATCACAAAAAAAAAAAAATTGAGTCTATTATTATTAATCAATTTCTTTTAGGAGGGAGTAAAAATTCGATCAGTACCGCAGGTGGTCAATGAAAAGGGACTGGATGAGCCGAGGAGTATATCGTGAATATAGGAGAAGGTGTGAGGGCAAATACGTCATTTCATCTATCTAGGGCTTTTCACCCTCTTCTCTGCCTCGCCCTACAAAACCCTGGCAGGCAAATGAAGCAATAACTAACGCCCATTCTCAAGCAGAAAATCCGAGAGCCAGCGAGCGAGATTTGGAGAAAATGGGAGTATTTACATTCGTTTGCAAAGCCTCCGGCAGCGAGTGGTCTGCTAAGCAGCTTAAGGGCGATCTGGAAGCTTCTGCTAGCTCAACCTACGATCTCCAGCGCAAGCTCGTCCAAGCCGCTCTCGCCGAAGACTGCTCCGGCGGCGTCCAGTCATCCTTCTCCTTCGTCCTTCCTACCTCCGCCGTTTTCCAGGTTTCACGTCCATAACCTCTGAGTTGATGCTGTAGAGTATATAATTTTGTATTAAATTTGTTATGTTTTGTTTAAATTTAGATCTGCACTTTTTTGCATTGAGTTTATCGAAGTGTGTTTAGTATTTAGCTTTTCCGAAATTTTAATTGCATTTGTGTAATCTGATTTTGTTCCTTGTTTCTTTAATACTATATGCTGTTGAAAGGATAGATTTAGCATCTGGAGTTCTGGACTTTGCAGAATTTGTGAGATAGAGAATCTCTGATATGCAAGAATTTTCACGCTTTCTGTATATAATTCTATATTGTGGTTATTTGCATATATGAACTGGATAAGATAAAATTCATGCGTAACATTACTTTGTTATGATATAGGGTGTACTGATGCTTTTGCTCATTTTGAGTCGATGTTGGAATATATAAGTGTGTTCCAAAAAATATGACATCATAGGTTCAAACCCTGGTGGTGGGGACTTAGATTCTTTGGGCTGAAGATCTTTGAGAAAGTATAGAACATATACTGCCTTGTAAAGAATCATGATTATTTTCAAAAAAATATAAGTGTGTTCAGAGGTGGTTTACATTTTAAACTGATACTTGTAGAGAATGAATTGGGTGATGATGAGTTTACAAGATTTTAATTTCTCTTTGCCTAGAAAAAGTGTGGTTGGTTTTGACTCTGCTGCCTGTATTAAGCGGTTTGATATGCAAATTTATAAATGTTTCTGAAGTGTAGCATATGGAATTTATGTTTAATTTCCAACCATTAACTTCATGTGGTGGTTGGGTGGTTTAGATATTCATTTTTGTACTTCTAAATTTACTTCAATTTGTTTCAGGTGATTATTGGTGGAGCTAGTGGTGGTGCTTTTATTGGAGGTGGTGGGGCAGCTGCAGCAGCAGCTCCTTCTGGCGGTGCAGCAGCTGCTGAAGCTCCTCCAGCTGATGAGAAAAAGGAAGAGAAGGAAGAGAGTGATGACGATATGGGATTCTCACTCTTTGATTAGTTAGGTGCTATACGCTAATGAATTATGTGCTGCTATCTGTTTTTGAAAACTGCTGTTTTGGCATGATTTTGATCTTTTTTTTGATAGATTTGAGACCCATATGACTTATTATTATAACGTTTCTAAGTGCTTTGGATTCTTTTCATTTTCTCTTTGGCTTATATGGCTTGTTCTGTCAAATGCTTGTGGTTGGAACTATTTGTATGTTGCATGTTGTCTGATAAAAATGGTCATGACAACTCTAGAATTGTTTGAGAATAGCTTTCTGAAACAAAACATAAGTTTGGTAATAAAACCTCACAGGTGGAGGAAATATGGACCGAACCCTACAATTTAATTTCTTGTTGGCAATACTGCAATTTCTTGCAAATTCAGATATATCATCTCTTCCTGCAATAGGGAATTCAATAAACTACTGAGTTAGAACTTTTAGATGAATATATGATATATGATTGCATTCTGAGGTAGTCAGTTTCATGATTTCTCTACCCCATCCACTCAGAGTTTGTTGCTTACCTTTCTAAGAGATTGGGCGATGGGATTTGAATCACATTTGCAAGCTCTTCTGAGATTTGGTGCAAAGTATTTATTTTATTTGCGTTCGAATCTCAAAAAATGAATGCATCTTTATTAATATCAACTATGTTAAATTGTTAATGATGCTGGTTGATTTTGTCCAGTATAATTATATATTTATATAAATCATTTACAAACATTATATATTTATATTTATAAATATAATTACAGTATAAATTATGTATGATGGTTTTCTTAAGCAGCCCTACCACAAAGTAGGAGGGGAAAAATTGGCAATGAAAACAAATATTAAATGGATAGAACATTAGGTCGCATGTGCCATATTTGGTCCGTAAAAAATTATACCACGAAGCTGGACTACAACATGAGCCCAAGGTACAAGTTCAAACCAAATATGGTTATTACAACTTCGATTCTAGACAAATCAGGCAAGTCCAAAAAAGAAAGAAGACAAGTGAAGTCTAATGCGAGATAAGAAGTGATGATGTACAAAGCATGCCTCCTATTTATATGGTAAGAATGCCTTGAATCATGAGAAATGAATGAATATTGGCATGTGGGACTTCACCGATCCAGAGTCTAAGACTATATATATATATACACACACAAATTTGGAGGTACTTAAATCACATTAGTAAGACAGGGACATCATCTCAGTGAAGCCCTTCTCTACTGAACACTCTGCTACTTTACCAATATTGAAAGGGGCACAGGGTTCTACATAGTTAGGTCCTAATTCAAATCATATATTTCCTCCAAAATAGATAAACTTCTCAAACATATATATAATTCTCAAATACATACGAAGTGCGCATTAAATTAGGCTTCCATTGTGGAAGCTAGTAGCAATATAATGTCAGACTATATACTTCACACTCTTCTATGAGATTGCTTCTCCAGCTAGTTGGAATAGATAGCTAAACATTATTAAATATCTCATATCCATGCATCTAATATAGTTAAGTTGATTAGCCCACCTATATATATATGGGTGAGTATGCATGTGACATTATCT